GCGACCGTACCTTTTTGACTTTGTTCCTTCCGCAGTCGATTCCGCAACATGCATGCTGTGATACTGGGCCGCCCCATTTCCTGCAGCAATGTCTGTGGCGAAATATCCTTCCCAGTAGCCACGATAGTTTGTAATGCTTTATTAAAAGCCTGCTCATCTTCAGTACTCCACCGACAGCGTTTTTTGGGTGGTGGCGGACCAGACTTCTCTTCTTCGTTAACAGCTGCCTCATTGGTGCCGCTACCATGCCTTAATTCGTTACCAATATTGCTTTTGTAAATGAAGTTCTGTAGTTGCGTCTTGGTAACATTGGCATATCGCGAGTCGTTCCTCAAGCTTTCTGATAAGTGCTTGACAGTAAGTCTTCCATTGTCTACAGCTATACGTTCTGCAGCTTGTTGCAACGCAAGCAGTTGGTCATCAGTCCAGCGGCGTTTGCCCATGCTGCTTCATAGCAACCAGGGGTGCTATCTTGCTTCAGAAGTCATCGTCCGTAGCGGCGAAATAGTTCAAAAGACGCGAAAAATTTCTTTTGGCTGAAGACGAAATTTCTTTGAAGATGGTCAAAATTTTCGGAAGGCCCACGCCAGCATGTACACACGTACACACTCGCGGACAGCGCACCACCGCTAGTAATCTGCACGAAAGCACTAGGCACAGTTGATAGCGGTAGTAATGCGCGTCCTAGCACTTTGGGCGTTCCAGCCAACCATGGTATGCCGACCATGTTGTGCACACCCCTGCTTCCCCCTAATCCCATGAAAACCCACTAAGCAACAGCTACCGCTCAGATGCACTGTCGTGCTAGCAGGAACCATGCTACCACATCACGCCTGCTCTGAAGGGGCCAAGCCTGAAACCCCATACACAAGAGACCCATGTCCTAAGCACCTAAAATTACATCACCAAGTTAACCACCACTCCTCTTATCGAGTAAGAAGCCAGCCCTCTCACGGCCTGATTACTGAAGAGACTGATCACTGAAGAGGAAAGCGGTTATAACCCTAATCCCCATCTCAGTATTACTGGAGCAACACTCCCTTGCGGCCCCCATACCCCATGTCAAGTGGCTCCCAACTAGACCGCGAATCCTGACACGGATTTCTCCCACAGCACCAACACAGAACACATTACACGTATTTGGCTAGCTGACTTGGCTGCTTTGTGTAGGGCAGCGTTTTGTTGCATGCCACCTCTACACAACGTCCACCAACGTCTTGTTGCTTCTCTCTACCCCTCCAAGGACTGCTGTTCGTGGCTTTTCACGGGTGTGCCAATGAGTGCGATGGGCAAGCATGGGCGCAAATGCGACTGGGTTTCGTGCAATGGGCACGGATGCTAGGTGGGCCTCCAAACCAAGCATCTTGTCAAGATACCTGCCCTTATAGGCTTCTGGCTAAGCAGACTCTGGCAAACTCACAGACGATTTCATAGGCTTTCCTAAAGAAAATTTTCTTTTGGCTGGAGACGAAATTTTGCTAAAAAGGCGCCTTCGGCGCCTCTTTTGCGGACGATTCTACCCCTAGAAATTTCGTCTGAAATACAGGTTTCCTCAAAAATTTCGTCCGCAAACTCCAAGATAGCACCCCTGATAGCAACACATTAACAACATAAGCATTCTAACGGTACTGTGAAATGCTTCATTGTGTATAACTACAACGACTATCCGTGATCAAGAAGGGTTAGCAAACAGCAACTGTAAGAAAGCACGTGTACGACAGCCCCTTTCCGAACAGCAATGTTGCACCTTAGCAACAGGCAACAGGAAAGCACGTAACGTAGTTGTTTCGAACATTCACTGATCCAAACCATAACACCAACCTCATTTCCATGCCCCATAACAATGTTGTCTGTGTGTTCTAACAACTGTTCTTCTAGGTTCCGTGGCTTACACATAGCAATAGTTTGGAAACATTGTCAATGTTATGGCTTCGTGCGCGATGTTACCTAAATAGGAAATTTTGTGTAATCCTTAAGTCCCGGTATTCCCTATGGCTTTTCCCTTGCTTCCACGGCGCGGCCTATCGGAGCGCCTAGAACCAAGGGCAGGCCAACAAGGGGGTTCAGCTTCCTCAAAGCTGGAAAAGGGCGGAGCCCCTCCTATTGAGTACAGGAACGTATTATTACCACTGGAATGAATGCGATTAGTACAGGGGAGTCCGAACGATTCAGGGCCTTATAGACCTGGAATGGCACGGCATGCGCTCCTGTGACTCCACGGCACCAGTTGACTTAACACACCTTGTTATACGGACGCTTAACCCCCCCGTGTTTACTGTAGTTTACTGAGTGTTCGTTGCATGGCTAGACAAGCTCAGAACCCCTTGTCCAGCCGAGGCCGGCCGCCATGGCGTACATAGTGTCCTCACTCATTGCACTCATTGTTAGGTTACACCTGTTCAATCGAGTACTCAGTAACGTCTTATCATGCTTGATAACACCCACGCATTAGGCTACAGAACCCAAATCGGCGGCGTAACTGCCACATGGGAGTGCTTTCAGGGTCCCCCAGGTCGTTTAGGTTTCGCCTACATTACCAACATGATGAGGAGGTCAGGCTCGGCAATGTCGGCATCGTGCTCCTAAGGACTTCGGCAATTGCACCGGAACATCGCTGTTATCTTCTAGGCGAGGTACCTGTTTGCGTTACAGTTCATAGGCATTATGGCGCATAAACGAATAACAAAGGCCGGCAACATCGTCTCAAAGGAGGTGGGCTCAGCGTAGCACAGTCGATGCACGCAAGCATGCTCTCGCCGACTTTCACAGGTAGCCCTTTGGCGACACGCCGCTGTTTCCAAATCATTAAATACTGTTTACGGTACCAGGACAAACCATAGAGGAGCGCTAATCTGTGTTGCCGCGATGGTCCTTTTAAATGGCTGGTAAATAAATCGTTTGTTGCGAAATCAAGTTTGTTTGGCTTCCAGTTACTTTTACTGATTCTATACTATAGTCTTAACAGCTCTTGCGGTCGGCAGCCGGGGAGCTAGTGAAGAGCTGAATTGCGGTTGGGGCAGGAGACACGGCAATGGATTGGATTGGGCCTTACACACTATTGGTGGAGCTGCTGCTCGCGACAACACACGGCTCAGTGCAGTGGCGTGCGCAGCGGCGTGCGCCTGCACCCGCTGCACAACGGAAAACAAAGAGTAGTAAGTGCCAAAGCGCTGTCCGAAGCGGCCACCCGGCTGTTGGAAAACCCCCATGCGAAAGCAAACTAAACACCGACACGCTGAAGTCCCAGCCATTCCCAAAAGGGAAACCAGAAGCACACCAGCGGCGCTCAAGCCCTACAGCCCATGCGACAACCCAGGCCCCACCTAACAAGCATTCATAGCTCCCGCCGCCTCCATAGGTGGCGTGGATGACGCTACTGCTGCACACTGGGCCGAGCATGGCTTAACGCGGAAGACACTGGTCAGGGAGGGCGGGGGGAAGTTACGAGCAACAAAGCTCCAATAGTGAAGGCAGAATGCCGAACTATGGAGCTGTCAGACCTTAAGAGACAGCGAGAAGGACGAGCTGTACGACTGCCGTATAGAATCTAACTTCGAGAGCTATAGTCGCTGCTTTCCTGCCGCTTCTAAGTAACAAATACAGATAACAAATATCTATTAGGTGCAATTAATAGTTTTGTCTAGTTTGTATGTTTTGCCGTTACGGACGGACGGACACACGGACAGGGGCGATCTGAAGCCCCCCAACCCGAAGCCGCTTTGCGGCGGGAGCTCCGCCCAAAAACAGCCCGCGGGCAATCCCATGAGGAACGGTTAACAGCCCACTGGATATCGAACCCATCGGCGGTGGTGCTGGCATCCAGGGTTTAAACCAGCACGTTCGCCCCTGCCACGCGTGCATATGACGCGACACCGACGACCCCAGCTCTTAGCCACCTCATGGCCTATGTATCGTATCACTAGGAGCAAAAATGCCGGTGAAGGGGGGTAGTGTTGTTTTGGACCAACCGAAACCCCTAGGCTACCAGTAGCCTGAGCTTGAATCCAATGCCTGTGCAGCACAGGCGCATGCGCAGCTGTGTTAGCCTTGTAGCCTTGTAGCCTAGTGGCGAGCCATGTGAAAGTGGCGAGCCAACATTTGCCATCGGAAAGCCTATCGGTGGAAATGCACCGAACCCTGCACCGAGACCCCTACTGCGCCATTCCGCTTTTCCTGGCATTTCGCTTGGGCTTTTCCTGACGTGTATACACCTCATGCTTGCACTGAAGGAAGCGTACGCGCATGAGCCGCCAATGCCCAATGTTCAATTCCTGGGTAGAAAACCCGGACGTCAAAAGCCAAATGTCACCATTCTGCGCATGTACAGAACCGGCTTCTTAGGCACATTTCCATTGTTTTCTGCTGGTCAAGGCCCCATCCCGTTCCGAAAGTCAGCGCCCCGGACACTTTATGAATCTGCCCCAGATCGTAGTCAAGAGATAAAGAAGAATTCCTTGTAGGCTTCAATCACACGGTCAAACAGGCCTAGTCAAAACTTTCACCGGCTTCGTACGGCATTCCACCAACGGCCGAAGGCCTGCCCAAGCGCACACAATTGATTGAGCTTAGGGTAATTGCAACCCATTACTTCTTGTCACTACGCCTACTTATAGGCAAAAGGGACTCAATCGGGGCTTTAGGTACTTTTCCAACTCGGTCAATCAGGGCAAGGCCAAAAGTCAGAGCGCCATTTCTCCTAGCGCAATTGCTCCGAGCGTTATTGCTCCTAGTGTACGCCATGGGTGAACAAGGCAGCCAGCCTCAACTGGACAAGGGGGTTCAGCGTCCGTGCAACATGCACCTGTACGAAACAAGGGGTTTCGGCTTCCGGTGTGTTAGGTCAACTGGTGCCAAGGAATCACAGGGTCGCATGAACTGACATTCCAGTGGCCGTCGTATGTTCCTGTACTGAAGCTGGAGGGACTCAGCCCTTTTCCAGGTTTGAGGAAGCTGAACCCTCTTGTCTTTACCCATGCTCTTCCGCCCCCTCCGTTCTCTAGGTTCGTCCCGTCAAGTCCATCCAGGTGTTCCGGCGGCCGGTGTCCCGGGCGCAAGCGGGCGAGCGGGTGGGGGTGTGCGTCACGCAGCTGGACGCGGGCCTCATGGAGCGGGGGCTGGCGTGTGCGCCGGGGACGGTGCCCAGCTTCCGGGGGGCGATAGCGGCGGTGGAAAAGATACGCTTCTATGCGGGTAAGGCTGGGGTTGGGGAAAGAGTCAAGGAGTGGTCCTTTAGGAGCTGCTCGAGAGTTTTTGGCCTGCCCTTGATTACAGGCGCTCCGCTAGGTCGCGGCTTGGAAGCAAGGGAACAGCCACTAATAGGCTTTAAAATGCACGTAAATTATGGGCAATTACGGTAATACCGTAATGTACGCAATCGAGGAATGCAGCCCAGTGCTGAAGACCTATCTAACCCTCCTCATACCACCATACTACCAAGCGGCACGCCAGGCCACGTCCCCAGCCGCTCCCTCACTTCCCCTGTCCCCTCTCATGACAACACGTAAATCTGCCCCCACACCAGGCCGCGTCCCCAGCCGCTCCAAGTTCCATGTGACGGTGGGCCACTCTACCCTCATGGCCCACCTGACCTTCTTCGGCACCCCGGACGGCAACGGACTGCCCCCAGCTGCCGCGCTGGCGGCCATGATGGGCAACCTGGCGGCCATGACGACGCCAGCAGCAGTGGGGGAGCCGACTCATGGGTCGGCTGGCGCAGGGGCGGCAGGGACCGTGCTGGGACTGATGTTCGACTTTGATAGGGATTACATTTGCCAGGTGCGGGGAAAAGGGTGGGGCACGTAAGAGGCACGAATAGAATGCAAGTTAGGGGAATCAGAACCACATACCTCCGGATCGATGCTCGGTGCGAACGCAGAGCGCTGTTGAAACCAGGAAGCCCTGGCTGGGATGGGCTCCCGGGGGAGCCGTTAAGCACCGGGAGTGTTGCTCACGAGGGATTGTTGAGGGATGGTCAACACCATGTATACGTCTGGAATGGCAAGGAAGCAATACGGCCTAGGGCCGGGCGCACCGCTTCGCTTTTGTTTTTATTTTTTACAGTTATGCCGTGACACAAAATCATGCTATTTTACCATCTATCACGCCGGACATGAGGATGATACTTTAAGCAGATCGAGCCCATTTCCGTAGCGTTCCACTCGTTCTGTTCGTTGCATACACTACAGGAGGAGCTGTACGGCTTAGAAGGGCGACCTCTGGCGGATGCAGCGGATGCAGTGGCAGCGGGGGGTGGTGGGGCTGCTGTTACGGCAGGACAATCCGGGGGGGCCCAGGCCAGTGACCTGGACACAGTGGAGCGGCCAGACACAGAGGGTGAGCAGGAGCGGCCGGGTCGTCACTTTGGGCCCCAGTGGGTGCTGCTGCGGTTCGACCAGGCGGTGACCGCACCCAGGGTGAGTCGATCTGCGCGAGAGGAGGTGAAGCAGGAAGTCTTGAGCAAAACCATAGGGTGGGAATAGAAACGAGAAGGCCGTGAGGCGGCTCGGTACGGTCGTGCAGAAACTCGCATATACATTTTCGTCTCCTCACGGTACCCATCTCCCTCCTCCCCTACCATGCAGAACGCTCTGGTGATTGGGTCGAAGTTTGATGCTGGCGTTCATGGAGAGGCGTGCAGGTGCGGTAAGGGGCCGGAACGGAGTAAATGGTCCCGTCTACCAGTTCTCAATGTAGTTGTGATCCAACTTAGTACCACCTAAATAAATTACCGGTATCGACCCTGTCTGCGGTAGCCTGTTGCGTAAGGTGATCATTATAGTCACACCGACAACGCGCACCTAGCGGATAAGCCACCTTGACGACCTTACTCTTATGCATGTCGCTGTCCAACAAAACAACTGCTTCAAACACGGGTTGTCAGCTTCGTAAGCAAGGGGTGTCGCCTCCCTAGTAGGGGGCGGCGTGCTTTCCTTCAGTGCACTGCCGGCCTAGCAGAGGATCTTCGCCGCATGATGAAGACGGCATCTACGGGTTGCACGGTGCTTAGCGGGTGTGCCGAGCACCCACGGGTTGTGCAGGGATTCACAGGTCGGGAAGAGCGCCCGGGGTTGCGCAGGGTTTACCGGGGCGCCCACGGCTCCACACAGACGGCCGTGGGTCGCGCATATAGCTGTAATCCCCCGTGGTGCTCCCCTGCCCTTCCCGACCGCCCGTCTTTCCCATGAGGCGCCTGCCCGCCCGTGCCCTTCCCGTCCTTAATCAGTGTTCGGTTCTTCCCCTGTCGGCGTAGGCGTAGCGCGTCGTTTTTGGCCTGCCCTTGATTCCAGGCGCTCCGCTAGTCCGCGGCTTGGAAGCAAGGGAACAGCCATAGTGAACACCCGGGCCGATTTCAGGGACCTTTTCTCCGAAACCACCAAAATCGCTGCCCCTCAAATTTTAAAATAAATTTATAAATAAAAGCGCGTTTTCATACTATGGCAAAAAGCATTGTCTACATTCCAGTAAGCAAAGAAACCAATGCAAAGGAAGAGGAGCATGTTTTCTAAATGGCTATCGTTGGCTTGTGGTGACCATGCTTTGCAGTGTCAAGGCTGATCAAGGAAGAAATTAAATTGGTGCAAAGTAGGCTTTGGTCGCTCGCACGGCCCTGGGTCCCTGTTCTCTGTCCCGACCGCCGTACGGCTTGGCGGGGTTGGCGCCATGCAGGCCGACAGAGAACCGCTAAGAAGAGTTTTTTTGTTCAAAGACCGACTCAGGGGACCTATGCCGAATATTGGGTGGTTGTTTCTCAATTTGATTGTAAACTCTGCGCTCAATCTCTGACATCGACACGACGTATGTAGCTGCATTGTAAAGCCCAAACCGGCGAAATTTATCGCAAATCCTCCTTTCGTTAATTCTGGTTGAGTTGCTTGTTCGTAACAGCAAACGGCGATTAACATGGACACCCCGGACCGCCCGATGAAAGAGAACGGGGCTTCTACACCCAGGTCAAGCCCATGATTATAGGAAACGAGGTTTGAAGTTTTGCAGACTTGCAAGGTTGAAGTTTGGTATTGGACGGGGGTAGTTTGCAAGCGCGGCATGTGCCATGCATGCGACAAGGGAATCGGGAAACACGATTTGAGTTTATTGCAGTTCCTTGTTGTAGTCATTAAATGGAGTATGGGAGTGCTTTTTCCGTCGCGAAATTCGTTCTGGCTAGCGAGCAGCATGCAACACCATGCCAGCACTGAGGACCCTTGCAGCTGTATCCGCCAAGCCTCACACCGCAGCTTGGCGGTGCCGGTGTCATAGGAATGAGCTCAGAGTTTGCAGGCAAATTGATAAATAGCCACCCATTAATTAGCCTAGACCCCTTGAGTCAATAATAAGGTAAAATGAGCCTTCGTCTGGCAGTTCTCTGTTGGCCTCCGTCCAGGGGGGACCAACAAAAGAACAGGGACCCAGCGCCGATCATGCGGCAAGTCAGATGGGGCGTCCTCGCTCCCATTTTGGTTTCCCTGGAGTCAAGCCTCCAAGTCTCAAGCCACCCAGCACCGCTTTAGGACTTCCAAAACGGCAATCCCTTTAAACAAGCCTAAAAGAACACGAATCCGTCTTTACGTCCAACGCGTCTGGCTGACCGCCACACAAATTGGATGAAGCGGTCCGAGTCATACCCGCTTTGGTCATTAGCCATCCGTACCATGGGCAAGACTAGGGGTGTTTCTATGGGCGTAGGTTTGGTTTCGGACCGATCCTAAGCCAACCTAAGGGAATCTTGTCCCATGCTCGTCCCACCAATACTTAGCTAAGTTGCTGCTAAGTTGCTAAGTGGGGTGACCCCGCTTAGCAACTTAGCAGCAACTTAGCACCGGCTTAGGCTGGAGCGAGTGGAGCCAGCGGGCCCTACTCATTGAGCCTGCAGACCTTCGCATACAGACAAACAGTCGGGGATACTAAGCAAGATGATAAGGTTGTATAGTCGGCATTTTTGGGCGGAGCCCCCGCCGCGAAGCGGCTTCGGGGGGGCTCGCCCCCCAGGGTTGCCCCTGTCCGTGTGTCCGTGTGTCCGTCCGTCCGTAACGGCAAAACATACAAACTAGACACAACTATTTATTGCACCTAATAGATCTTTGTTATCTGTATTCAGTAAAAATAACGGCAAGCCAAACAAACTTGATTTCGCAATAAACTATGTATTGACCAGCCATTGAAAAGGACCACCTCGGCAACACCGATTAGCGCTCCTCCATGGCGTGTCCTGGTACCGTAAATAGTATTTAGTGAATTGGTAACAGCGGCGTGCCGGCAAATGGCTACTTGTGAAAGCCGGCGGGAGCATGCTCGCATCTACTGTGCTACTCAGAGCCCACACAATCCTTTGTGACGATGTTGCAAGCCTTTGCTATTGGTTTGTGCGCCATAATGCCTATGAACTGTAACGCAAACGGGTACTGGGTACCTCGCCTATAAGCTAACATGCGATGTTACGGCGCAATGGCTGAAGTCCTTCTGAGCACGATGCCGAGATTGCCGAGCCTGACCTCCCCATCATGTTAGTAATGTAGGTGAAACCTAAACGACCTGGGGGACCCTGAAAGCACTCCCATGTGGCAGTTACGCCGCCGATTTGGGTTCTGTAGCCTAATGCGTGGGTGTTATCAAGCATGATAAGACGTTACTGAGTGCTCGATTGAACAGGCGTAACCTAACAATGTGTGCAATGAGTGAGGACGCTATGTACGCCGTGGGTGAACAAGGCGGCCGGCCTTGGCTGGACAAGGGGTTCTGAGCTTGTCTAGCCATGCAACGAGCACTGAAACTACAGTAAACAAGGGGGTTCAGCATCCGTATAACAGGTGTGTTAGGTCATCTGGTGCCGTTGAGTCACAGGAGCGCATGCCGTGCTCATTCCAGGTCTATAAGGCCCATTGAGTTGTTCCACTCCCCTGTAATCGCATTCATTCCAGTGGTAATAATACATTCCTGTACTGAAGAGGAGGGGCTCCGCCCTTTTCCAGCTTTGAGGAAGCTGAACCCCCTTGTTGGACCTTGTTTTTGATGTTAAAATGCCCAAGAAAGCAAAAGCAACTCCTCAATTGTCAAATTGACAAATGCGAGATTCCAGCGCCACCCCGTCTTGCAAACAAGTTGCGTTATCAATGTCCTCATATGGACATTCTGCAAAATATGACGGCTTTCATAGGCTGCACCCGTGTGACATACCTGAGGGCGTTTGGGGGGATGGGGGCTGTGTCCATGCTTCTTTTATTGGAGGATCCTCCATTCCTTTCATAGAGGCTACATTTACCCGAAAGCAAGCACCGTACTTCCCGTCATTTGCCACATGTATGGCACACTTTGCGTGTCTTGTTAGGGGTGCCTTATCTCCAATTAGCCAGGAGCCGGAGTGGAATCTCCAATTAGCCAGCCCCACTATCACCCCTTGCAACAGAGCCGGTCGAGGGCCATCTAACCTATGGTTATCTTCCACCACACCCCTAGTGTGGTCCTCACAAGCGATATGTGCCTTGCGCTCCCTTGAATTGAAAGGTCCTACGGGCCCCTGACAGCAGCAGCTTTGCCCACTGCCAACCCAGGCCCTTGCAGGGGTCATCCATTCTCTGCGAAGGTAATTTATGGCAGAACCTAGGCTTTTCCGGCCATGTGCTTCCTAGTTCCTACATGCATCCCCACATGGCTGTCACGCAACTTGTCCTGTTGTCCCCGTTTACGTGCTATGGGTTGTTCTGTTGCCCGAGATAATGTAAATTATACCCTTTCGTAACCATCAGGGCCACAAACGGAAATCCACCGCTGCATCTTCTCGCGAGCGCCCCTTTTATATCAAACGCCTTGGCTTAATAAACAGTGATTACCCTATCATGTAAGGATAAATGATTATGGTATCAACGTAAGGCTGGTTTCACCGTGGTTCCTGAAGTCCATAGAAACAGGTCACTTAGGAACACTTAGGAGCGTGTAGCGTACGACTTAGGTTGGTTTAGGTTTGGTTTCGGACCGCGCCCATAGAAACACCCCTAACTATTTAGCCGCTTGGAGGTGTTCGCACCTGTGTTCCCGGATATTGATAGTTCTATAGCAAAAGTTATTGCAAGTGGTAACAACTTAGCCCTTGGCCCGTTATGTTTCTAAGACTTCTTGAGGTGTAATGTGTAGCATGTACGAAAACACGGGCCCTTGCAGCAATCATGATATGGTATGAAGCAAACGTAAGGGCGCATAGTACATGGCAGTTGATGGTGACGATAGGAAAAAGAGGGGCGCTTGCGCATGCTTTGTCAGCTTCGCTTGCCCACGGCATGGGGACCAAGTAACGGCTAGCTGGGGGACATGCACTCCTGGGAAGGGTACCGTTTCGGTGGCAACGGGGGCCTCGTGGCTTGCACAGCCTCTCGAGCACAGCGCAGGTGGTGGTGGTGGGGAAATAAATGATAAGTGCAGCAACGAGTCCCAATCCCATATCCGGACTTATGCGGTGAGCGCATTTGGAAACTCTATGGGGGGTGTAAAAAGAAAAAATCTCAAGAGCTGTATGATGTGGCTTCATGGGTTGCTAGGGGGGAGGGGAGGGGGGTGGGGGACACTGGATGGCTATGGTTATTGGTGAGCCGGAGGATGGTGGACGGGTGAAATATTTCATTTCCGTTTTCATAATAATTACTACTCTGGGGAGGGTTAGGGGAGCGGGTGGGATTGAAGGATATCCCAAATCAGAGGAAGTTAGTAAGGGCAACGCAAAGGGGATATGTGGTGGCTGGATGCAATAAAATTAGTGAGGGTAAGCGTTGGGGGGAGTGAGGGGTTAAGTTGGGGGGAGTGAGGGGGCCCGTGCGCCCCCTCAGCCTGAGGCTACAGTTAAGTTGTTTTTGTACTGCCACCTAAGGTTGGGTCGCCTGTCAGCTATACGAGCTCACCGGCTAGCGGGGGGACTTGCACAACTAGGAAGGGTACCGGTTTGGGGGCATGGGGGTCCTCATCATGGCTGTGGTAGGGGAAGGGCCTCATTTTTCGCCCTCCCCGTGCTTCTTGTATATATACCCTAAAACGCGTCACGTAATCATGCTGCCACCTACGGTTAGGGGAGGGGCTGGCCTGCACGGCCTCTCACGCACAGCGCGGATTGGGCGGGAACATTGGATGACTAAAGATGATGAGGCGCCTCCTGGCCTGCTGGTCACATGAACGCCATTCACCACATTTCTAGCTCAATATTCGTTGGTGGGCTATTTTTCCCGTAAACATTTCTACTCTGGGAAAGGGTCTGTGAGAGGGCAGGCGGGTAGCGGATGGGGAATTAACAACATACCAACCCATACGAAACCTCAGTAAGGGCAAAGCAAAGGGGATGGGAGGCGCAGTATGGATTGCTAAGAAGTGAACAAGTACCGGTTAGGGATCTGGGTAGCAGATGTTGGGAAAGAGGTCAGGGGGCTGAGGCTACAGTTGGTCGTATAACCGCTTTGCATTTGTCGCATCGCCTCTTTTCCTACGCACAATCAATATATATGTTCTTCACCGTTTTCTTCATGCGTTTTTTTGTCACTGCGGCCCGTTTAAAACACAGCGGCGTCTCACACAATTGCGGTCCCTCCGTTTTCCTCCGTCCAAACTGCAGTTAGTACGGTCTCTCCGTCTTCCTGCATCCTTCCGCGGCTTCGCCCTTAACATCGATGATCAGCTTCCGTTCCCAACGCACCCGCGTTTCACGTGCCAGGCGCCTTGGTGTCGCCAAATGTTTATGAGCTCTGCCGTACATTGACGCTCTTCCTACTAACGGGCTTCCTAAATAGGCTGACGATGGTCTCTGCTACTGTCCTCCAGTGTAACTTCCGCTTCCTAAATAGGCTTAATATATGGCTATATATTATGCCCCAGATTTAACGCGTTGCTGCACTCCCTGTTAAAGTCGCGGGACACACCCCTCTGAGCATGCTCGGAAATAAATAACAAGATTTCCGCTTTGAAAAGCCCATGCTTAATATAAATATATTAATACAAATAGGCTTAATATATGACGGCCCAGATTTAACGCGTTGCTGCACTCCCAGCAGGCAGCTATGTCCCGGCCCAGAATCCGGGCTCTGAGCATGCTCGCTCAGGATTTAGGACAATATATAGGGTGCATGACTTACACAACTGCCTCACATGGGCTCTTATTACATAAATGGTTTATTAAACGCCCTAGTGTTATTTATGTTCAGCATCACCATTTCACCCTCGTCGACGAGCAAGTCACATTTTAGCATACAGATAACTAGGTTTTTGGCCTGCCCTTTATTCCAGGCGCTCCGCTAGGCCGCGGCTTGGAAGCAAGGGAACAGCCTTAGTGAACACCCCGGCAAATTCAAGATGTTTTTGCGTGAGCGTTTTGGCATCTTTTTCGTGCAAAAGGTTTGAAATTTGAATGTGTATATGCAAGTCACAAAGACAACCTGCAATGTGGCTCCAAGTCAAGAACGATTGTTATGAGTTGAGAGGAGTTTCTAGCTGCAGCGTTCGTCACATAATCATGGCACAGGTGTTTGATGTATTGTGATGTTAAAATAATGATATGTATATGGGTGAGCAGTGATGTTGGCCTGTGTCGTACAAAGTACAAAGCAAGTTACAAAAGAAGAGGCCTTAAGCGCATGTTGATAGCTTGCTACACGTTGGTATCCGTTAGGTTGTTGTCGCGGTAAGGCCAGCAGCGTAGTTTAATAGGGCCGACACAAATGGCTTCGGTATTGCCTTCATTACTCAATACACACAATGGCCAGGGAACGAATGCAGGAAAACATATGAAGTTGAGGCTCTGTGTAAAGCAGCCGAGACTATTGCCTCTAGCGGACTGAAACTTACTGCCAAGCTATTGTATGATGAAGTGTGCTCCGACACGCGCTTGAAGGGCTTGACGTATAAACGTGTTCTCTGCTTTTTGCAATACAACAAAGCCGGGCAAAAGTATATCCGGCCTAGGCCCAACGCTACCACTCAGCCTTCGAAGAAGCGTTCAAAGTGGACTCCGGACGAGGAAGCAGCGTTTCAGGAAGCAGTGCTCACGCTACAATCCACCAACAGAAAAGTGACAGCGGGCGCTGTCGTAAAGGAGTTGAATGGAAGTGCTGCCACGTACAATCAAGTGCACTACCGACTTCGGCAGTTGGCGAAAACTCAGCGTCTTCTATGTTCATCAGAGGATAATGGAAACGTCAGCAACAATAGCGGTGTGGAGGATGGTGACATTGGTGGGTTATTGGTTGTTTGCCAATATTTGCTAGTTGTGGGGCATTGACAAAGGTTCTATAGCTCCGGCCTTCATTTAAGCGCACAAACGTTGGATAAGCCTTAGTGAACACTTGCTGCTTGAGATACATAGATGACGGAGTTTTGGGTTCGCGCCATGCCCTTTCAGATGAAGACGAACCCGGCACCGAGAACGAGGCAGATGTGGATTCCATAACCATGACCGTCCCACCCGCGCGCCGCCCTCATGCAACCAGCCACACAACTATCACCCACCACCCCACACGTCCACTTGGGCAGGCCATGAGATCGCTTCGGTCTGGTATATTGTGCTATTGTTAGTGCTAAGTAGTGATTGCCAAAGGACAGGATCACCGCTCCCAAAGGTTGCGATGCTGGCAGAGGGACGTTTTCCGAACTCTAGGCTTTGCTTGCGTAAGGGTCATACCGCATGCTGCGGTGTAAGCTGCAAAGGTCTAATGCACAGCGGAGGGAGTACACGGTGCTGCAACTGGAAGCGTCAATGTCGATTGGTCTTTACCGCGCCGCACTGGCTGCCACGCCCGCGAGTGCCGCGAAGGCGAATGGACACGTTAAAACAGCAGAAGTGGAAAGAGCAGGAAGTGGACTAGCTGTCGTTAAGTTAAGACGGACATACATGTAGACTCTATGTTGCGTGGTAGGGGTCACCATATATAGGAAAGGTTTAATCCTTGCAACAGAGTAAAGACATATGCAGCATGAGCGAGCACGTAGTGTAAGGAGACAACTAGCTGGAATGGAAACTGGAAACCTGGAAACTGAGCAAAGGCGGAGCTAGGGCAAAGGCCTAGTCCTATACGAGCATGAGAGAGGGATTGGACTCTCTACCGGCCATAAGAACCGCATGCCACAGGAAGGAAGGCCGTACGACCTTCGGAGCTCAGGAACCAGATCCAGATGTGGATTCCAGATTATAGTTATTACAGCTCCGTTATACGTAAGCTCTGTTATTATGGTCTTAGCCATTTTGATATATGTCTTTATATTACCATAAGCTTACTGTATTGTTACAGTCCTCCCCACCTGGAGCGAGAGTCCCTGCGAGCTTTTGTGCTGCGGTCTCTTGTTCTTTGTTGGCGTTAGCCCTTAGTGATAGCGCGCGTTGAAGTGTGTAACAAGAGGAAAAAGCGCTTGATGTCCTGAGGCGCGATTTGCTTCGTTACACGTAGACCACATGGCGGGTAGGACTCACAGAGCGATAAAAAGCAATATCGTGCGCTGCAGAAGGGTGTTGGAACACAGCCCGCAGGCAATCCCGCGGGTACCGGTTAACAATCCACTGAGTATCTAACCCCTTGGCGGTGGTGCTAGCATCCAGGGTCAAACCGGCACGTTCAGCCCTGCCACGCATGCATATGACTTGACACCGACTCCAGCTCTTAGCCACCTCATGGCCTATGTATGGGGAGTCCGTAGCCGTGACTGTGGTGCGAAATGGATGCCGGGTGGCCCTCCAGCCCCTCAAAACAGCATGTTTGACCGGGTTCCATGCTGCATGCCCCCATGCGAACACCTCCAAGCGACTAATAGTCTTGCCCATGCTACGGATGGCTAGTGACCAAAGCCTACTTTGCCCATGGGTTGCACCAATATAATTTTTCCTTGATCAGCACTTCGACGCTGCAAAGCATGGTCACCACAAGCCAACGATAGCCATTCAGAAAACATGCTCCCCCTCCTTTGAATTGGTTTCTTTGCTTACTGGATTGTAGACAATGCTTTGTGCCTTAGTTTGAAAACGCGCTTTTAAAATTTGAGCGGCAGCGATTTTGGTGGTTTCGGAGAAAAAGTCCCTGAAATCGGCCCGGGTGTTCACTATGGCTGTTCCCTTGCTTCCAAGCCGCGGACTAGCGGAGCGCCTGGAATCAAGGGCAGGCCAAAAAGCGGTGCCGCTAACACACGCACAACAGTCATCCACAATTAGGCGCCGCCACCGACTACGCCCGCCTCGCCGGCCTCGCCTTCATTTTTGGGGGTGGGGGGGCGAGCCCCACGGTCTGCGAAGCTGACGGTTTTTGTAAGCAGACTCAAAATCCCCACACAAACCTCCTTTGGTTTGGATCGTGGGGCAATTATTGCAGTTCCTACCCCCTGCTCGTTCTCTAATGCCTTAGGAATGCCGTGTGATAACAAGGGGAAAGCTGCCCCTTTAACTTATGCAACATGGCGCGCTTGAGGAGTCACCGGGGTAAGGCATAGCATTGGTGTCGCTTGTGGTCGGTAGCACCACTGTGATCGCATATCATGTACTCCATGCTAGGTGGGCAGGAGGGAGGCTCATTTAATCCGGCTCCCTACATTCCCGCACCCAGGCTCGCCTTCTACGGGCGCCTGGTGGCCCTGCTGGACCCCACTTGCCCTGACCGTCTGGCCAGACTGCGCGTCTTCAAAGCCAAGATGCGTGCCGGGGTGCTGGAACGGTTGCAGCCGGATGGGTGTGGAGGCATCGTGAGCCAGCTCATCAAGAAGGAAAGCGACGTGGCCGCGTTTGTGGGGCTCAAGGTGGGTTCCGGGTTGGCAGGGTTTGGAATGACGAGAGGCCTGCTGGTGTGCTGCTGCTAGCTAGGCGTGGCACCGTATTGGAGTTTAACCGTCCATATGACATGCCAGAGAGGCTCGCACGCATGCTTACTAACTCCGCATCCCATGGGTCCTGGGCTTGGCCCGTACTGGGCCCTCCTACCTGTTGGCAACGGGCGCCCTATCCGGGTATTAGGAGTCCTGTACACTTGCGGCCTGTGTTTCCCTGTGTGCCCAGGTGACCACGGGTCGGGGCGAGGAGGGTATCATAGAGGGCTCGTTCGGCAAGTCAGGAAAGCTGAAGGTACGTGTTCTTCTCTCATGTTCTTCGCTTTCTGTGGCTTACATTTTCCGCACTGCTGAAGTTCCGCCAGCATAATTGCCTTAATGGCAAAGCCGCCATGTCCTGGCCTTCCTGTATCATGATGCACCGCAGCGCATTCATCCGCCGCCTGCCTTGACCGTTGAGGTCGTGCTGCTGCAGATTGTGGGTTGCAGTGCCTGTCATTGATTATACCTTTCTACCTGTCATTCTCCACCCACCAACCCGGGGCGGATCTTTCTTTCCAGGTTCATTTCCCTGGCGGTTTAGCTCCTGAGGGCCGCAGCACTGCAGACAACGTGGTGATTCTGCGGTGCAAGCGCTACCTGTTCGACCCGGGTGCTGATTATGTGGCACGGCAATAGCATTGGCCGCGCAAGTAACAGGGGGTTGTCGCTGTGCAACGGCGGTAGCGGCATAATTTACGATGATGCAGTTGAAGAAAATGTGTAGGAAAAGTAACAGGCAATAGTTGTTGGCGGTTGTCGAAGGTGAGAATGCAATAGCTGTTGCCGGTTGGCACGAGGTAAGTGGGCACAAGGCGAAGCTGGCTTGTCATTAAGAGGTATGGTGAATGTGGGATTGGTGCAGGTTGAACATCCGGGAGTTCTTTGACCGTAGAGTGGTGGCAATGTGGCGAGTCCGGTGACGCGGAACATGTGGTTGGGTGGGTTGCGACGTAAGGAAGGTTTGTCTTTTTATGGTAATGCATGTTAATGCATGTGATATGGAGCGCATGATGGCTCTGGCGTTGTAAGCGTACCAAACGTGGCGAGGTCCTGTTTTGGACTGAGTTCGTGTGGTACATGCGCGATGGTATTTTGGTGTTCTCCCATGCGTATGGGGGTGGGAACTGTGTCTCTGTGGTTGAGGCAAGAGGGTCTGGTTTCGGGCTGTGTACGACGGGTGAAGGACGTTTTCAGTGGCAGTGTAAGTGATGAAAGGTGTAGGGCATATGTATGGGCTTCAACTTTTCCTCCACGTGTCCGTCACTTGCGGTTTGTATGCAAACGTACCCTCATCCAAGACAGTGCGTGTCTTCGAACAGCATCTAAAGTATTAGTGTCCCGGTGCTGCCCTGTAACTTGAAGCAGCCATGGGTTGTTATATTGATGAACGGGAAGTAGTGGGCTGCGTTCGGTGATGACACCGACATGGAAGGGTTCCCTGCTTTGCTTCCAGACTACCAGAAGCTATGCATAGGTGGAAGCAGCGGTGAGAAGCTGACAGCGGTGCGCAGCTTTGCCGCTGCAAGCAGTGAGGCGCAGTACAAAGTGCGCATCACCCTGGACAGCAATGGCATGTACGCCAAGGTGATGGTCAGCGTTATATAGAGTTATGGTTGAATAGTTTTCCATGACTTGAGGGTGCAAGGCACATGCAGGTGAAGGAGGCCAGTGAGATACAGCTGAGCGGTGCGGAGGATGACGCATACGGTTATCTGGACTCCGTTTGCCAGATGGCTGGGGTAGCTGTCTGCAACGTGCCCGGCGACGGAAACTGTTTTTTCCACAGCCTCCTGCTGGGCGTGGAAGCGCACAGTGGCAAGCTGATTGAGCCGGTAAGGCTGTCGGTTAAAGACGGAAGCACTTTATTTCCTGGCATGGCGTCATGAATCCATGTTTTTTTGTAAATGTTATGTATCGATTTGGAGTGGTAATCATATAGCGGGGATTAGTTGACAGCAGTACTATTTTTTGTATTGCTTGAGAATTAAGGGGTTGATATCAACTTATGCCATTTTATGTTGCAGGGTCTGAACGATCCCAAGGTGTTTCGGACGGCTACGTTGCGGAAAGCCATGGAAGCAATAAGAAAGTACGACAAGCAGAATGACGAGGAGCCTGACCGGCGCTTCCAGGGAACAGCTGTCCCTGCTGACAGCACGACAGAACGAGGTCACTCAGGTTATGGAACACCTCTCACAGGATCGTGGCACTGCTATGTATGTGTATCCAGAGACGATTCACATTGCAAAGTTGTTGGTTGACATCCAGCAGAAGCCAATTCTCGTGTTCGAGGCCGGTAAAACTGGGACGGGCATGCTTGACGTGGTATGCTCCGACCTTCCCAAACTGTGGACTCGACGAGTCCAGCCAGCATGGAGTTCAATGCCATCGACTGTTTAATGCTGGTACTGGATAACTCGCACTACCAGCTGTGCGTTCCCCCTCGCAGCATTGAGCTCCTTGCCGTAGACCGTGAGGAGTTAGAGCGCGCGCGAAAGGTGGTGGTTGTGCCTCCCAGCTGTGTGGATGGTAAGGAGAATGTTGTAAAGGGGTGGGGTAAAGAGGGGTGGGGTGGGGAATGAATTCCCAGTGTGGAATGCCACCCGGTTGGGGTGTTATAGTGATGAATTTGGACTAAGAAGGCCTGCGTGCTTTCTAACACGTTGAGCAGGTGACGCCAAGTGCCTGAAGGCTGAGGCGGCCACCTTGGAGACCCTTCGGCGGGCTGCGGAAATCCGTGCGCAAGGTGGGAACATTGGCATTCGGTGCGGCAAGAAGCAGCCTGCTTGGCTACGTACGGTTTTGTAGCAAAGTACTGATCTGTCGTTGTTGTACACACACAGCAGGCAGGCAGGCAGCAGCCAGCAGGCTTGGCGCTGGAACATCCCTGGCACCAAAGTTGGCTGGTGTGAGTCCAGCACTTGTGACTCCATCAACGGGGCGTGCAAGAGCTGTGTCAGGAGGCCACCAGGAACAGGGAGGTAAGGTTTAAGGGCTATTTCGGTGAACTTTCCGAACAGTGCACTTATATATGACGGAAATGAGGTGTTTGTGTTTTCGCAGCCGGCAAGTTTGGGGCCACAGCGAGCACTAGTCGCCAGCGTGTTGGTATGCCTGGCCTGCATGAAGGCGCGGCTGCTGGTAGGCGGGCAAAGGGTGGTATGCGGGACACTGTCCTGCATATGAAAGAAGGAAGACACTCCATTCAAGTAGCGTCTTTTATTGCTCTCACAGAACGCACATGGCAGGCCGTTGCATGCTGCTGCTGACCGTGTAGGGGTATTTCCTGTCACAGGTGAGAACGACGGCACAAGGAATGAAGTCCGATTTTCAAGGACTTAGGATTTGGAGGCCAGGCAGCCTAGCCCGAGGCTTGGAAGGAAGAGGACATGGCAAGGTGTGTTTAGCCCTTTTTAGTTCGTGGACAACCATATACGGATACCGTAGTAACGCGAATGTTTTTACAAAATAAATAATTATTTGGGGCGGTAAAATTGTGTCAGAAAAAATATCGCCGGTTTTGTAAAGACATTTGAGTTGTCGTGAAAATTACTGCGGGCGCGGTAAAAAGCTTAAATAGTAGCATTTTCGCTTATTGCCACCGCTCCTTATAACCCTAGGTAAAAAAAATAAGTAAATTTGCGACAGCGCATGATGGTTTCGGTGCGGCTGCCGTACAGTTCCTATATATCCCTGGCTAAACAATGTAAGGCCCTCGCGAATTCCAATCGTCGCTGTGCTGCTGCGCCACTAAAACAGCCAAACAAAGCATTATATCTTATCAGTTTTATGCCCTTTATTCATTTATGTAATTGGTATTCTCGAAGTCCGCTTTTGGCCATAGCCTCGGTCTGCATGAACCAGCCATTCCCACGCAAACCACCCCAAAGCTCCACGCCAATGACCCTACCGGGTCCTTTTAACCCACCATAACGTTTTGACACTTGCTGCAAGCAAAAGCCCGCCGCTTCAGCCTATTGGGTCACCGGACACATGGTCCGAGCGCACATCTCGGCGAGGCATTACGGCCAGCATACATATTCTACTGGCCCACGCGTTTTCGCTTTATTTACGTAGCTGTGCTCCATTCTTCTAGTTGTGGCCCTCACTGGCAGGTCTCACAGGTCTCGGTGCTTATGGATCTGTATAGTTTGTAGTCTTGTGAATGCATTCGTTGTCATGTACTGTTCATATTTGTCCCGTCATTTGCTGCCAAGACAGCGTCCGTGAACTGAGCACTATGGAAGATGGATATGGAAGAAAGAAACGAGGAATGAACAAAGACCTAATTTTATTTATATTCTCTCTTGAGGTTGCCAGGCGCTAGCCAGGTGTCGTGGGACTGGCCACTCCATGACATCTGGCGTCTGGGTGTAACAGGACTGGCCCTCCAGTTGCACCTGGGGCGCAAGGCAAGATCGACCTCTATTCATTTTTTCGTGTGACTCGTGAGACTTATGCGCCGCATGGGCGCCATGGCTTCAGCTGAGCTGCATTGCGACCTTTAAGGCAATCCCAAAGTACATGTTAGTATTAATGTCGAATTTTACAACCGGTACGGTGAAGGAATGGGGTTCAAGCGGTGGGGAAGGGGCAGCAGGGCCCTTTCCCACCGCGCGCCCCATTCCCTTAAAAGGTTCCAAAGGGTGACTATGCGGAACGGAGCGGTGGCCGACCATCTCAAAGCATGATTTAAACTGCTGTACTACCCTTTCAACCGACACTGTCAAGTTTTTTTTTGTTTTAAGCTTCTGCCCTTGGATGTTTCCCCAATTGCCCCAAGATCTACCAACGGCGCGAGCACACCAAAGGAGAGACTGCACACCCAATACTGATTCAGGACTACCTCAGTATACCCCAATTACCCGTTCTACTGCTTGCCGGCACACCGGACACGGTGACCCCACCGGCACACTTGCTGAGCAGGCCCTGCACACGCAGCGGTGAACCGAGTCCCCATGCAGGAAGCCGACCTCCTTGGGAGCACTCAGGCAGATGATGCACTCCGTCTCACTCTCAGGCTCTGTCGGCGGTCGCTGCTGCTCCCTGGCAGGGGCCGGAGGGGCCGAGGGAAGCTCTTGCTTAAGCGGTGGAGCAGGGCTTTGCAATGCAGCCCCCGTAACACCCGAGTGGGAGCCCCCATCAAAGGTTGAGGGAGCTGCGGCTGCCTCCGCAGCTATGAGCGCGTTGATTGCGTCCATGTCGAGCTCATCTAGAGGACCAGTGGGAGTTTGCCGCTGCAGCTGCTCCAGCTGGTTTTGTCGGGAAGAGGGCGACAGGTGACACATGGGTAGGCCACCTGGTATACGGTCGTCCCAAAAGGGATTCACGCCGCCGGGGTCGCTTTGGACGTACAGGGGGTTCTGTCCGTATGGCATAGTGCCAGCAGTGGATGGCGGTGCAGTACCTGGGATGGGTCGTAGTCGGTTTTCATGCATGGAACTGGAGGCTGGTGCGAGTCCTGCTGCTGTGTGTGGCGAGGCGACTGGCCTTGGGGCCTGTTGTGGGTAGAGGTGCTTCAGGGACTGCCCGGAGGCCGCGGTGATGGCGGATGCCAGACGTGCAGCAAAGTCCTCGTCTGGCTCTCCCTGCGGAGCAGAGGAGCAAGAGTAAGCTAACAAGCAAAGACGCTGGAACCGGGTAGGAGGAGCACCGCGGAAGCTGGTGAAGGTCATCACGATAGCGACTATGTGGTGGTACGACATGGCATCAAAGAAATACGGCTAGGCATGGGCGTAAAACCCAGGACAGGCTAGGTGGAGAAAGACATGCCTTTAGCATGCCTGCCCAACCCAGCCTCCCAAGTCCCTAAGCAATATGCTTCACGTCCCGCACACTGCACCCCACTAGATCGCGGATTCCTCCGGAGCAGTTTGGTTTGTATCTAGCCCCGCTAAATAAATCCTACATCATTCCCGCCATGCAACCCAGGCACTAAACATGCCAACCAACCCCTCTCACCGGCAATGCCGCCATTCGCTCAATGGTGTTTTCCCCGAAAACCTCCCCACCCGAGCTGAGCATCGTTTCCGCAGCCCGGCGCCCCTCCGATACTCGCATCAGCTGTTGCTGCTCCTCCTGTTTCTGCTGTGCCGCGTGCGGCGACACTGGGTCCGGGGGCTGATGACACACTCCCAGCCCCGGAGGTCGTCGACGGTACGACTGCTGATATTGGCGTTGTTCCTGTTGTTGATGCTGGTGGAGGCTAACAGGTGAAGCCATGGGGCAGGGCCCTGCAGCCCCTGGGTACGGCGCCGGCACCGGCGCCGTCATCTGAGATGGTGGCGACTGCGACGGCGCATGTTCATACGGCGCACCGCCACCTGAAGCGCCGTACATGGACTCAGCGGCACTGGACGGATACAGCGGCTGTGCAACCGCATAGCCCATGCCTTGCGGCGCAGGCGGCGGCGGGAACGGTGAGGGGTAGGCATCCGGAGTATGCCGCAATGGTTGCGGCAGTGGGGAGGCAGCTGTTGCTAGTGCTGCGGCTGTGGCGGGCTGCTGTACTTGCGGCTGTTGCGGGGGCCGCAGAGCACCCAGGAGGCTCATCAATTGGTGGTAGACGGCAGCTGCTGCAGGAGTCAGGTCCGCGGGACGAAGGGAGATGCAGTACCCATGGGAGAAGGTAGTGGCCAAGTCGCCGACAGGCTCGCCGTGGGAAGTGTGCAGGCGCTGTGAGCGGGCGGGCGGAAGTTCGGGAGCAAAGGGTGTATTGAGAGAAGAAGTGGTGTGGTTGCGACTGCCGTTGCCTCAACAGGCGTACTGGGACACAGCCGCTACACATTCCACAAGACCATAATGATTAGACACATTTCCCAACACCAAGACAGTGACCAATCATCCCGCCCACCCGCACCAGCGTGCCCTCTGTCCCCGCCGGTCCATGGGTCATGACGGTGGCACCATCCACCCACAGCCGGCACCGCGGACTGACACTGCCCTGGTCCTTGTAAAGCCATAAGCACCGGCGAGGCTTCAGAGCCGGCGGGGCGCCCGCCTGGGAACCCCCGCCGGCGCTTGTGCCGCCGTCAACGCGTGCGAAGGGGAAGTAGGGCATCAGTACCACCCAGCGGGTCTTGTATTTGCAGCTCAGTCCCGCCATGGCACGTGTCTGCAGCGGCAACAAGCGGCAGGCAAGCAGGAGAGAGACTTCACTACAAAGGGCATCCTCGTCCCTACCCCAAATGGGCCCGGCGCCGTCCCTTCATCTTCACCTTCCCGTGCCCTCCCCTCCTCGCGCCCCGGCCTCACCTTAAACGACACGGCGCCAGTGAACTCTGCATACTTCTCAATGGTGCGCACCACACCAATGTGCCCGCTCAGCACCGCCTCGTCCAGCGCAGTACGGCCGCTGGCGCTGCCTGCGAAGGGGTTGGCGCCAGCCGCCAGCAGCAGCTCAACAGCCGCCTCGTGCCGCCGAGCAGCAGCCTCGTGCAGCGCGCCGCCGGGCGAGTCGCGCGCGGGGTTGATGTAGTGCACATCCACTCCCAGGGAAATGAGCTGGGGGGGGGGCGGCAGGTGGCGGCGGCGGGAACGTAAGGGCTGAAGGCCACGGCAAAGATACTCATCCTTCCAGTAAGGATGCGCTTTTCAGCATCCTAACCACGAACATGCGCCCTCCTGCCTATTGCAAAATATCTTCTACGGTTATCTGCCTATTGAGTATCGCCCTTTCTAGGGCGGGCCCCCACGTGTTCACCTGCTGCAGGATCTGGTAATGGTTCTTAGCTGCCGCCACTAGCAGCGGGGTACGACCGTACTTGTCCCTGTGCTCCAATACATGGGCGCGGGCTGCAGGATTGTCCATATCAGCAGTGCGATGTTCACTCACAAGCGTCTGGATGGGTGTCGTAAGCATAGGACTCAAGTTGTGGCAGGTGCTGTTGGCATATACGTGTACGAAACCGAAAGCACGTCGCAGGACAATGTCAGGAAACACAGCTTCAAAACATCAACGCTTAAGATTCACTAGTAGCATGTGAGTCTTGGGCAGCTGGGTCCCAAGAATCGCAATCGTGATACAGCCCCTTCACAACCGTTGCCATGCTAAGCCAAAAAGACCTTGGCTTGTTACAAATGTTTGCTGAAAGAGCGATCCACGGCATAGTTGTCGCTACATGTCAGCAAATAGCAAGTCGCCACTCAACGCAAACACACTAACCATCCGTTGTACAGTCCGCATACGTGCCTTCAGCAAAATACAGGAGCCAGCGAGTGCCCCAAAGAGCAGAAAACTCGTCACCGTGAGCCCTGTCCTAGCAGGTGCAACTTACCTGAAATACGTACACATCGTTTCGTTGAACTGCAAGAAGGACCTTTTCCGGGAGCGAAGCACTGTTGCCCATGGCAGCTGTGTAGCGAGCAACAGCTGAACTCCAGGAACAAGACACTATTGCAGCATTCCTGGTACACTATGACATTAAAGGAGACAAGTGTAAATATCAATGTATTGCAGCGGCAAATGTGAAATGTGCCAATTACCACTGCTAACACTAAAACGTCCGAGCCTAAAATCGCGTCCAAGCGGACAGAGTAATGCGTTGGTGCGAAGGCGGGGCTTCACCTGTGAAACGACGCAATGAACGCCTAAGGGCATGCCGTACATACACAAGCTCCCTAACTTGGGGTCTTTCTATGGGCTTAGGCTTCGTTTCGGACAGAATCTTACGCGTGCTCGTCCGATGCTCGTCCCACCAATACTGTGTTGCTAAGGGGCCATTCACATATGAGTGATTTTGGGAATGAGTGCGTAGGAGCGCGTAGGGGAAAATTGTTCATATTGTAATTTTTAATTACGTTTGGCCTGGAATTATTTTTAACAACGCCTGAGTTCAAAAAATAATTCCATAGGTGAAACATGAGTGAATCATGAGTGAAGTTGAGTGAAGTGAGTGAAGAAACTCGTGAGCAGGCGCCCCCTGGTAAACAGCATCCCTATGCCAAGCGCATACTTCGGTTGCTTTTCTAAACTTCGCGACTGCATATTTTTGTTCTCGATATACTACTTTCTCATAGAAAGCTTTGCGCGGCCTCGCGCGGTGCGAGTTTGACGAATTTGCTAACGTTGGTCGCGACCAGCAACTACCGCGTGCGCATGGCTGCGGAGACCTGCGAAGAGATCATCTTGGCAGGTCTACGCAGCCGCTAGCGCAAGCCAACTGGGGGGGGCAGGCTCCGCTTCACTTGCCACCCTGGAGTCTTCCAACCTGCCCTGCCAACCAGCACCGCTCCTAGACTTGTAAAATGATATTACCTTTAAGAAACCTAATAGGAATCCGTTTTTGCAATTACGTCCAACACATTCAGGCCGACCGTTAGAGCCTTTATGACTCGCTGAAACCTGCTTACTTACCAAACTCATAGGTACAATCCTTATGCGTCCTGTATGTAGTTTGAAACCAAGCCATTGTCTTCCTCAAACGTCGAAATCGTTACACTCGTCGCGATGCTTGCATGCCATACCGAGTATCGTAGAAGCGAACGAGCTGCGTTCGGCATATGCGAGCACACGGAATAGCAACAGCAAATGCCGGAGCCAGCCGACACAGCAAACCCATGAACCTTACATCCTGTCACCGTTGTCTTGTCCATCCAAGCGCGCGCTCGCTTCACATGCCACAGGTTTCAACCATAGCACAACACAACAAGACGAAGACGAAACAAACACCTTGGTACTTGTCCCTTGCCTGTTGAACTGGTCCACTATACGACATTGACACACCACGATTGCGTATCCACACATTTAACCACACATTGCATATCCACGCATCTCCCACACCCCCGAATATTCGCTCACAGCTCCAAGCGTCCCTCTCCCTCCTCGCACTCCCCCGCGCCCACACCCTCGCCCTCGTCCTCTCCCTCGCCCTCCCCCTCACTCGCTGCAGTCATGTCAATGCTCTCAATCTTGACGTACGGCTGCCTCCACAGATAGACAGCCCGCAGTCACGTACGGCCTGGCGTACTCCTCAATGTTGTCGGATACAAGCTGCTGCACCTCCGACGGTGGTAGGGACTGCTTAACCGCGTACGTCTCGATGGCCGCCACCACTTCAGGGACCAGGCGCAGGTACTGCTGGTCATCAAAGCTGTGATACGCATGCGCCGCCTTCTCCTCTACCACCACGATGTCAGGATCGGTTATGAAGATGGAGAGCAGCAGGCTGTGAGGGCAGCCCACCCGCAGAGTACGCCGTATACCCTGTCCTCTACTTGCTCCCCGGCTACAGACGAGCTTAAATGACGCGAGCTTACGCTGTCTGGGAAGTGGCGGCGGGTAGGGCTTGCCGCTGAACATGAACGCCAGTGCGTTGCTGCTTCCACCACTCTGATGGCGCTCCAATGCATAGTCCACACGCTGCTCTACTTGGAGCCACAAAAGGAAGCTTTCCAGCAGAGAGCGCGGTACACGGTACACCTTGTTGCAGGAAGGCGCTGCCGCTGCTTGTTGTGGCACGCCACCGACGGTATCACTAGCCGCTACATGCGAACCAAGCTCCTTCTCTGGCAGAGACCACTGCACCGTGCTGGGGCCTTGGGATTGGTCAGGAGCGAGGAACGGCCGAAGGGCATCTCGCTGAGGCGACTCGAAGGAGCGGAAGGCGAGCTCAGCATCAGCTAGAGCGTGTACATTGACGGCGTCAATGTTCACTGCCCGGTTTTCTCGCCCTTCTGCATCGATAGGGCGGAGCCTGGCTTTGGGACCCCCCATATACCCCGCGTCGACGACACCGAGTTGGCCGGCGTACGTGCCTCGCAGGATCAACACGGCCTGGCGCCCCACGCTTGGAGAAAGGAACAAGGAAACATGATAATGGGCCCCTTTCATACGCTGCCTATTCCATTCCCAACTGCAGCTTGCCTCTAGGTACGCTCCAGGTGGCTGCATGTTAAGGAGACCAAGCGCTGCGCCACTGCCAATTGGCTAGCTTCCTGCCTTGCTGCCCGTGTTCGGTCGCGGTCGCGGCATTTCGACTCTCACTGTACGCCCGACCAATGTGAACGCATATTGAGTTTTTTCGACTCATTCACGCACCCTCACTCAAAAGGACCTCCTTCATATATGAATGGCCCTTGCTATGAAGCAGCATGGGCAAACGCCGCTGGACTGATGACCAACTGCTTGCGTTGCAACAAGCTGCAGAACGTATAGCTGTAGACAATGGAAGACTTACTGCCAAGCACTTAACAGAAAGCTTGAGGAACGACTCGCGATTTGCCAATGTTACCAAGACGCAACTACAGACCTTCATTTACAAAAGCAATATTGGTAAAGAATTAAGGCATGGCAGCGGCACCAATGAGGCAGCTGTTAACGAAGAAGAGAAGTCTGGTCCGCCACCACCCAAAAAACGCTGTCGGTGGAGTACTGAAGATGAGCAGGCTTTTAATAAAGCATTACAAACTATCGTGGCTACTGGGAAGGAAGCTTCGCCACAGACAATGCTGCAGGAAATAGCCCTGTATGTATGTATGTATGTGTTACAAGCTTCGTACCGAGCTCGTAAGATCCGTCCGAGCCAGAAGGCTCATGGATCGCGAGCACAAAACGCGAAAACAACCAAAAGAAGAAAAGTAAACAAAAGAGACAACAAACAGAACGCTAATCATATGATAAACCCTGTCTGTGCAATCCTGCGACTTCGCATGCTAGTGATTACGCTAGCAAGCAATGCCTGATTCTCCATGCCCATGACAGCAATCATATCAGCATCCCGTGAGACACCACTTTCCCATATCTTATCACGCAAATCATCGTAAGCGGGACATTCAATGAGGATGTGTTTCTCATCTTCCACTCTCCCCGGCGACCCCTGCACGGCACACATAGGACAGACACGCGCTACTCGTTGCCTACCCCTAGGGCGATTGGCTTCAATGCCCCACACACACAGCCGAAAACGCATCAGGTTCACATGCTGCCGCTGAGTAATGTACCCCCTGTCAACCGGGTCACCCATCCAATTTTTGTACCTGCACATCTTAACTCCAACCCCTGGTACGGGGTCTACTGGGTTGAAAAGCCGCGGGTCATCTTCCAAACTCCTATCCTCCCAATCCGCATCCATTCTATCAGCAAACTTTTTAGTGATAGCAGACACATTTAGCTCCGTGCCAGCAATACGTTCCACACGCGCATTCAAGTCCAACTCACCCCCCAAGGCCGTCAAATCCGTCCCTAACATTTTCAGAATCTTCAACACCTTAGAACCCCAGCCATCATAATGCTCAGTACTGAGAGCCGAACGAATTTCACCTCGCAACGCCTGGTGGTAGACCGTGTCCTTCTGCTTGACCAGGTCATTCCAAAACCTCAGAAACAGTTCCAGCCAGAAGACATGCAAGGGGCGCTGGTTAAACTCCTTAAACAGCAACTTATCAGGCGAGACTTTCACACCCGCAATCTCCCGAAGAAATTCCCTTTGTAACTGCACCATTGGGTCCCGCAAGGATCTGTCAAAGTACCTCGCGGAATTCTCGCAGTCCGTCATTAGCTTCAGCACCACATCAGGCCCCCACACCTGGACACCGTACGACAAGATGGAGCGGACTTGCACGTCGAAGCACTTAACTGCAACAGCAGGGACCAAAAGACCTAGGCGTTTTAATTTACGCTGAAGAGAAAACATAGCACGTCGGCCAGAGGTCAACAGTTCCTCTGTGCAGGAAACAAACGGTGTGCCAGGACCAAAGTGCAAACCAAGGTAACGGGCTCGTTGTACCCAAGGAATAACCATAGGTACTCGCGCATTTCCCTCAATAGAAGTCCACACCACGGGGCAAAGGGCAGCAAAAGCCTCGCGGATATTGGCACGAGGGTGGAAAACCATCAATTCACATTTACGAACATTCACCCGCATCCCAAAGGCCTCACACCACTCTCTCAAATCAGCAAGCAACACAATCAGCCGTCTGTGCGTCGTAGCGAAAAGGCTGAGGTCGTCGGCATACAGTTCCAACGGGATACGCCGGCCATCCGCATGGGGAGTCTGCTGCTTAGCGCGCATAGCATCAGGGAGCCACTTATCCTTAGCGTCAACATGGTCAGCAAACCCCTCGCCAAAAATCCCGTAAAGCGTAGGGCTGAGAGGGCATCCTTGCTTGACTCCCTGCGAAGATTCAAAAGGATCCCCCGTCACTCCGTCTACCCTGACACGCATCATGACCTTGTTGTAACAAGTCTTGAGAGCCTCCAGCATAGCGCCATGCACACCCCGTTCCTCCAACCTTAACCACAAGAGATCACGTGGCACCTTGTCAAACGCTTTCTCAAAGTCAATCTGACAAACGAACAGGGGGTCAACTGCATCTCGCCCCCCCTTATGTTTGTCCGTCAGATGTCGCAACAAAAACAGGTTGTGGCAGGTACCCCGCTTGCGTCGGAAACCTCCCTGATACGGCGACCTAGCTCCCACCAGCTCGCCCCAACGAGACAGCCTGTGCTCCAACATAAACGCATAAAGCTTAGACAAAACACCACCCACTGCTAAACCCCTATAGTTACCCTTCTCCATCACATCGCCTTTTTTGTGGATGGGCGTGAGCGCAGAGACCTCAAACTGCACAGGATAATCCCCCGTGCTGCGGATATGCTCTAGTAGCTTGAGCAGGTAAGGGGCTAAAACAAACATCCTTCTACCCTCAACCTCTCTCGTCGCACACTTGAAACATTCAGCCGGTACTCTGTCCAAACCCCCAGACTTGTTATTACGCAAAGACTTCAGCGCAGCAATGACTTCCGCCAAGGTGAACGGAACATTAAGCGCAGCAGCAGCGGTGACTCGTGCTACCCGATCGCCTGTCGCCCTTACCCATCCTCTTCCCCTCCCATGTGGCACACCGTTGATGGTACTAAGGATGGTGTCCGCGGAAACTTCGTTAAACGCATTGACTTCCCCATTAAACAGCGCATTAAAGTAGGCTCCCCAACTGTTGACATCCGTGATAGGGCACCCCTGACTAAATCTGCCATTCAGCCGACCCCACAGCGCCCGTGGATCCCCCCGACATTCTTCGATAACTCCTTCAAAATGCATGACCCGGAACTTGTCCTTAGCCTCCCTGCGTAGACGTTGATACTTCGTGCGCAACCGACTGAACTCAGCTCTGGCATCCTGATCCCCCAGCAGACCGTTAGCACGCATGAGCGCCTTTTGAGCAAACATGGCCTCACGGGCTTCCGCACACTCAGGTGTCCACCAAGGCGCATCCTTGTCCGTCCTGCCTGCACTAGGAATGGACCCTTGCCTCCTCTCAAGACGAAACGTGGCGTCAATAGCCTTCTTAAGAGCCCGACAGATCACTGTAACAACCTCCGTACTGTTAAGACCATGGCCCAGTTGGCTAACAGCCTCGTCAATCTTCTGTACGACAGCAGCATCTTCTACCTCAAATAGGCGCGTGTACCGCTCCCACTCACGTTTCCCCAGGCGAGAGGAACCCGTGTTGCCACCCCTTCGCGTTCCTCCTAATCCAACGTCCAGAGTGAGTGACACCGGGCAGTGATCGCTGAGCCTCGATCCCACTTTAGGCCCCTCTATAGCAATGGGGATGCCAAGCACTTGCAAATGCGACGCCCGCGAGAACAAAGCAGGCGTGCAGACAAAAAGATCAATCATACTGCAGGCAAGGCCGTGGGCGTGGTAGAACGTGAACTCACCCTCCATGTCACCGGGCACACGACCATTCATGATAATCAGTTCAGTTTCGCGGCACAGCTCGACCAAACCTTGCCCAAATGGGTTGCTGGATGGGTCCTTACTGCGCCTGCTCGGCATGCCTTGAATGAGCCCATTACCTCCGATCGACACACCTGCCGCCGCCTCCAGTTCAGCATCGGCCTGGAGATCTGGTATATCACTCAAGCTGGCTACTCGCGCATTGAGGTCCCCCAAAATGAGGATTTCATCGCATGGACGCACATATCTTCGCAACAAGGCACGGAGTCGACCAAAAACACGATCCACGGTGTCAGTACGCCTTCTACCCGCATGGTCATTGTACTGAACAGAACCTTGGGGTGCTGCATAACAGGCTGCTATCAGCAAACTACGCCCCCCCATATTAAGAGCATGCCCTTTCACCCTTAACCAGATACTCTCCATGCCCTTAGGAACCTTAGACACACCAAGGAGCTGCACATCCCTAGCTAACATACGATTTACCCAGACAGCTACCCCACCTCTGTTGGGCGTGCCATCTACTGTGAACAGGAGCGTACCCGACGGTAGCATCTCCTTCACTACCGTATCTCCCACTAAATGCGTTTCCGTAATCACCACAATGTCATAACTACCCGCTATACCCCGTAACTCATTGTTATCAAGTTTCCAGTCCTTAAGCCCGCGAATATTCCATTGTACTACTTTCAACGCACCAGCCCTCTGGCTCGGACTCCTCTAGGTGTCCTCCATGGTGTCCGCTCCTGCCGGGGCCCCGTAGGGCCCGGTGTAGGGCACCAATCTCCCATCTGCTCCCACTATCTTGATCTCCGCTCCGCGGTCCAGGGTGCAGGGGCCGGGGGGAAAATTATAAATAAGTGCAACAACACAGGGGCCGGGGGGGGGATAATTGAAAAGTGAAACAACGGAGTCCCAATCCGTGTCTCAACGGAGTCTTAGGAAGAAGCCGTGAGAAGGGAGAGCTCAGGAGACAAGCGGAAGCAGCGAGTAGGAGGTTGCACGTCGGGGTACGGTGAAAGGTGCGGGAGGCCTTGTAATGCCCAGACGGAGTCCCGTTTGATGCAATGTAGAGTTACAAGCCCCTTATCGCAAATAGCACGCCCCTGGTATACTTTGCAAAGGTCGTCCGGTATCATTCTTACATTGTAGCCTAAAGTCCACGCTTCCTCTCACTCCTCGGCTTCACCCAAACTACTCCGGGAAGCCCCCCTGGAGCCGCCTACAAATAGCCCTGTTTCCATGGGCTCGTAGGAATTTTGGTTTCTGGTCGTACCCCTTCCTATCCTACGACTTCCTACGAGACTGTTTCCATGGAATAGAGAAACCAAGGCTGAGACCACCGTACCTGGCCAGTATATTATGGCGATATCGAACCATTTATTGCATTTTGTGCTGCGCGCACGCGGAAAAGTTTCCTTTGGTTCTTCCGCAAAGCTTGTTTCTTGAACTTCATTCGTCTTCACGCTATAGTAGGAGCGGTGTTTATGTTTAATGTTCTATCCGGCGTCTTGGCACTTCAATGATCAGCACCGTCTAGTGGTTAGGAGCCTTGGCAAGGCACTACCAAGGATGCGCTATCATCTAGGCACCCATGCTCTGAGCCTGTGTTTAAACGTATAGCTGCTTAGATTTCATGTTCTATCCGGCGTCTTGGCACTTCCAATGATGAGCACCATCCAGTGGTTAGGAGCCAGTGGCAAGGCACTGGCCAGTGGCCAGTGGCAAGGCACTACCAAGGATGCGCTATCATTCTCAAACAGATCTAGGCACCCATGCTCTGAGCCTGTGTTTGAACGTGTAGCTGCTTAGATCTCGCACCAAGGGTCAACCGTTAGAGAATACGTGCTCTATACCGTCCCTCAAATTCACCTTGCATTTGCGTGTTTTGGGGCATATTACAGGTTCTCGCATGCATACGCGTTCGGTCTCTTACCAGTCTTGCGGCCCCACCCCTCAAGCCCCCTGGGTTGTCGGGGAGTAGGCTGAATGGGTATGCCATGCCTATGCCACACCATGCACCCTTCCCAAACAGAGTAACACTGCGGTCACCTGTTTGGTGTTGGCCTGTTGTGGGGATCCTTTGCCGGCAGCACTGTGCCTCCTCCGTCCTCCCTATGTTCTATCATATTCCTGCTCTTCCATTTCGAACCATCGCTCAAGCAGTAGCCCACATGCCAAGCATCCTTTCGGAGGGGAGATATTAGAAGGCCGGGGTGACAAGGGAAAGGAAGAAGGAATGGTTGCTTTATCGTGGAATCCATACTTCTAGGTACTGGGTTGTCGTTCTGACTCATTTGTGGAGTTTGCACCCTAGCGGTAAGGACCTAAGGGGCAGGTACCGGGTCTGCCTCTGCTGTGGCACAATCACCACAGAGCCCATGGGTCCATCAGGAGGTGCCTGGTTGCCTGGCCAGAAAGGGTAAGGGCGAATTGCTCCCTGAGGAAGTCAGCAAAGGTACTAGGGCCACACTGGTAGGTTACACGTGGTTTGAGGAACGGGAAGTGCAGCGACATGGTTGGCGGTGCCATCATCGTGGACAGGCTATGTTCATACTCGCTGCTACATCTGGCATTGCGGAAGCTGCTATTGTTTCCCAATTTGCTCGTGCTTTGCTAACTGAGTGCAGCGAAAGTTGGGACACTGCGCTATCGCGCATGATCTTGCACTTGTGGGGCGCCACACAAGCTATTGCTTTGCTTTGTGTTTCAAACTGTAGGCTCTTAATATGCATAGAAATGCTCAGTTCGCAGTAACCGAGCATTCGGACATAAGACTCAGGCCACGCAAGGTTCAGATCGATGCTCGCTTTAAATTTCCTTGCCACGCCATACGCTCATATTCCAACCGCTCTAGAAGTCAGGAATGAGGGCCGTGAAGGCAATACGCGCGACAAGTAAAGCAAGGCAAAAAGAGCAACAAGTAAAGGCTAGAGGCTTTAACCAAAGGCGATGCTCCGCTCCGGCTGCGCTCCACTCGCTCCACTTTTACGGCAGCTAACGCCGTCCTATGGCTTCCTATTTTCCTACGAGGGGGGAGGCGCCGTAGGAAAATAGGGAGTTCCTGCGTGAAAATTTCGTACGACAGTCCTCATGGAAACACGTAGGAACTGTCCGAAACCAAACCTGCGCCCATGGAAACAGGGCTAATGGGGCGGCCCAGCATTACAGCACGCATGGTGCGGAATCGACTGCGGAAGGAACAAAGTCAAAAAGGTACGGTCGCTCATAGTGCGATGACCCTAAATGGTACCAGGATCCAAAGTCGGACGAGCTCGTAGCGAGGACGTTATCAACCCCGGCTTAAGCATCTTGGCTATAATCAACATTTCTGAACAGGAAATACGTTCAACTTGCCAAAAAGCGTTGGGAAGCTGTCTATTGCGACGGTCAGCTAAGGAGCCCTACGGGCTACATCCTATCGAAATCCAATGCTTAATAATTGATTAAGTACACAACAAGGAAAGGTTCTTGAATATCTTCGTGACCAGGATACCCAGTGCAGCGCAAATCCTGAGGATGCGCCAGTTGGATGCCTCGAAACTTAAGCTTTGCTTCTGGTAGTGGTATCCTTTTACGCTACTCCCTGGCCACATGTCCTTACAGCCGTCTCAACCCGCATGGCCCTTTATCGCGTCCCTTAGCCCCCTGCCTCCGTACCCTGCACCTTTCCCCCGTTGCCCCATACGTCGCCCCTCCTCAGTGCGGGAGGGGCGACGCATGGAGTACCGGGGGGGCGTCTGTTGGCGGCAATACATACAGCAGCCATGATTGGGCTGCGGCGGGAGGGGTTGGGGAAGGGATGGAGTCATGGAGAACTACGTGGGATGAGGTGACGTTGGGGCGGCATGCGGAGGGAAGGAGAGGGTACAGCATACAGCGGTTGGGAGCGTAGGGCAGCGTTGAAGTGACGGCATTGCACGTGGGGGACGTGATAAGAAATGGGGTGCGAAGGAAGGGGTCAAGGGGACTCAACAAACCGATGGGGTGGGGTAAGGAAACACAAGATATACCAAAACCACAGGTTAGGGGGGGATTGGGCTGTGCTCGGTTTGGCTGTGATCGTTTGGACATAGAGCGTGTGGGTGATGGCAACACAAGGGGGGAGCGTAGGAAGGTGCGGGGTGTGAAGGTAGGGGGGTTCACGAGGCGGGATGGATGGCTACACGGGTTGGGATGACGGGTTGGGCGTGTGTAGGAACGCGTTGACTACCGCCTGCATCTCCTCTGTTTCCTTGCGGAGACAGCCATAGACGCAGACGCCTGCCCGTGCATCACCACGTGCCTTAGCCTCCCCTACGCCCGGTGGATATCCATCGCTGACCGCTCCATTGATGTTCCTTTGCCGAAGTTAAAGATGACACGATAGCTGGCAATGTTCCATATTTTGCCCTCCCGGTACGAAGCAACAGTAACCTAGTAGACAACCACGCTGGCCATGACGAGCGATTCTCAGGCTAGGCCGCAGAGATGGGTATCCTGGCCGACGGCTTATCTTCGTAGTGTTCCTCGTTCTCTACTGAACTACCTACAGTTGTTAGGAATGCGTCAAGGAGCAGCCCGTAGGGCTGCTGAGCAAAGCATAACAATTAACAGGCGCTCAACGTTTTTCTATTTAACTGTCATATCCCCTGTCTAGTGGTGTTTAAATCTTGACAAGATGCGCTACTTTGTGTTGATAACGTCCTCGCTACGAGCTCGTCCGACTTTGGATCCTGGTACCATTTAGGGTCGTCGCTCATAGTGAAGCGTTTAAAGGTAACCACTGTTTCGCTGACGACATTGCTCCATCGCACAAACGAAGGTGACATTGTTCCAAGCAGTGCTCAAAAGGAGAGCGGTATAGGTACGTTGTTTGTTATGAGTGCATTTCAGAGAAGGTTGCTGGAAGAATGCTGCACTGAAGAGAGCGTACCACTGAATACTAGCTGCTGCGACCAACATGCTCTGAATGCCACCCGCAAACCCCTGCCCACGTAGAAGAAGACAACTTTGGCGACGAGGCTATGCCAGCATATGACGAACGCAGTGGTGTGCAGAGGTGTACCTATACTTTAGTTGAAGCAGCAGAGGAAGCCTGCAGATCTGCCTTTGCTGACTCCTGCTCATATGCCTGCTGCTGCTGCGAACGCAAGCTGTTCAGGCAATCCGTTGTGGAGGTCACGGAAAACATGTATGACACACTCATCGAGGAGTGGGCTACCAATCTAGCAGGCTGGGTAACACGGCGCGGTGTGGGCTACATGTGCCACACATGCCTTGGCAGCATTCGTAGGGACCGGTGCCCAAGGTTTTCATTGGACAACGGGCTACAACTTCCAGAGGTTCCACCTGAGCTGCAAGGCATTCCCGAGCTTGCAGAACGGTTGCTTGCTATACGCATACCATTCTTGCAGTTACGGAGACTTCCAACTGGAAACCAGCATGGGCTGAAAGGTATGGATGGTACAGCCTGTCCAGTTTGTTTTCTTTTTCTGCGCAAGCCTTCCCACCGCCCAGTCCTCACCACACCTAGCTTTCTCTTGCCGTACCTCCCCTTGCTTTCCTTTAAGAACCGTCCCTGTTCTTGCTTTCCTATCCCATTCCCTGCCCACGCCCTCCCTGAGCTGCCATGCCTTTATTGTTCTTACCATGCGACACCCCTTGCCAATCCATCCTGTCCCCATCCCTGTGCTTCAATCCCTTTGCCCCTTATGCCATAACGAGCCTCGCCTTTCATTCCGTTGCCTTCACTTCCATCCCCTCCCCTCCCCTGCCAAAGCTTGGCTCCCAAACTCAGCCTCTCTGGATAGTATAGCCTCCACGGTTCAATACACTTTTCTATGCAAGCCTTGCCACCGCCCTGTCCTCCCCACCCCTACTTTCCTGTTGCCTTACCTTCCCTCGCTTTCCTTTCACCACCTACCCTGTTCTTGCTTTCCTATCCCTTTCCCTGCCCACGCCATCCTTCAGCTTCCATGCCTTTATTGTTCTCTCCCCACGACTCCCATTGCCAATCCATTCCCACCCCATCCCTGTGCTTTTATCCCTTTGCCCCTTCTGCCGTAACGACACTTCCCTTTCATTTCTGAGACCTAGGACCGCGCGTCAGGTACTGTGCACGCCTCTGATACCCTCGGGTTGCCAACGCAATTGAGACCCTCCTTACTAGCAAGACGACTTGCCCCTGAGGGCCGCAGACGCCAGGCTTGCCGGTGCAATGAGCCAATTGCCACTGTACAGGCCTGAGGCTCGACGCTGTAAACGCCACCCTCATATGCCCCTACGCTGACAACTGACCCTCCCAAACGGGACACCCATGCGCCACTCTCCTAAGAAGCCTCGTCAGCCCCCCTCGTCAGCTACCCTCGTAAACAGCCGCGAAACCTCACCCAACCACCCCGCCGCACCGTCAGCCCTCCATGCTGCACACCCATTTGGGCAGGCCATGAGATCAGCACACGTATGATGACGCTGCCTTGATTTTACCTTCTTGGTCGACGTCGATTGTCCGTTAGTTAGGGAGTTGTCACTTGCTGTTAAACATTTGGATATTATTTTAGAACTAGATAAGACGACGCGAACAGAGACCGGTCGGGTGAGCGTCGCAGTCGGATATGTTGCCAGAGGGCAATGAAGAGTCGCGTTGTAAGAGAAGTAGGCTTGGACCAAGCAGAAGTGGTAAAGTACCTGCAATAATCCTGCAAGTATTGATTGTTATCAAGCCAACACCGGTTAGCTGAAGAAGCGGTGGGTGCAAACAGATAATCTTGAAGTATCGGTCGTGATCGTGCAAGGCGAGTGTTAAGGAGCGAGAAGGCTCGAATATATCACTCAACGGTTACACGATTATTAGCCCGAGCCGGGCACTTAGCACAGGAGTAGTCAAGCCCAGCGAGGGCTGGATACGAAGCCTGGGGATAAAGTCCAACACAGAGTCGCAATAAATGTCACAAGGTCCAACACAGGACAAGAACGGGTTAATGGATACGCCGACAGGCACTCAGAACCTGCACAGCAACAGAAAGGCTCGGCCGATGGCCAATCAGAGCCGGTACCAGCGGCTCCACACAACGTTCACGTGGCAGTCAAGCCAACTAGATTAATCAGAAGTCGGAAACACGATAAATGGGGCACGTCAGGCCCAACGTAGTCAGTCAGGAAACAGGGCACTTAGCCAAAGTCGTCGGATATCACACGTCCGGGGGCGCGGAACGTACCCTCAGGCTTAAGTCAACTGAGTAGTAAATCGTTAAACAACACGGCACAACAACACGCATTTTATAGTAAAAGACGACGAACATGTCATACACTCCAGAACCATCCTCCAGAGTACTCCGGACACTCCAGAGTATTCTAAATGTCAGACATACACGCAACGAATAGACTCGAACATTCCAACCGTCATCCAAGCGTAAGCCAACTGTAATAGTACAACGAACAACCGTCCGACCAGTCAGACAGAGGACAAACACGTCAGACCGTCTAAAGACATCCACACGCGTTAATCCTAAGTCAGCTCTCTTAGTCAGATCAGCTCAGTCATAAGGAGGCATCCCGGCCTCTCAAGGTCTTGATCATCTTGTCTCCAGGCTCCAGCCAGCCAAGCCTCCTCTCCAGCAGCATCTCCATGTCGCCCTCCTAAACCATGCGAGTAAGGATAGTAAGCTCTCCAGCCGATGATAGACAGCCATGGCAAAAGATGACAAGTCGAAAATTTTTAGTTGGGGTGTTTTGTTGCCACAAGGGTGGTTACTAGGAAAATATCGGCCTACCCTGGAAGTAGCTAGGTGGTCACTGGAAAACCTGCGGCCACCCCCCTAGGATCAGAAGAACAAGCAGCGCAACCGCTTGCAGCAGCAGCACCTCAGCGCTGCAGTTCGCCTTATGATGCAGAAGTGGTTTACGGTGTCCAACCTCCCGTACAAGGCAGCGCTGCAGCACTGGCGAGACAGCGCTATGTACCGCTGCGCGGACTCGGGAGGCGCTTAGTGGGGTTGAGGCTCGAGGGGATGGGGCTCGGGGAGTATGCACGGTCGCAGACGCGCTGTCACGCCCCGTTACCGGCATGTGCATTCTACCGGCATGCCCGTACGGTCATAGTGCATGTCTCGCAGCTTGTTCGTGTTATGGCGTAGTTCAGCGTATGTATGTTACAAGCTGTTGTGCTAGCGCCTTTATCTTGGGTGTTGCCGGTTTCTGGTAGTTGTGAGTACGGCGTATCGGGCATATCTGCCGTACAGCCGCCGCTCCTCTTAGACCGCGCAGCCCCGTGACTCGGGGCTGCGCACCTCTCGCAACCAACGCAAGCATGTAACGACGGTGTTTGATCGCCACCTGTCGTGGCCCTGCTAGCGGGTCACCGGCTTGCATGTGACGTCGTGCGTAGCCATTTCTTACTATCAGCGTAGTCCGACAGCCATAGCTATCAAGGATAGCCGTAATAGTTAGTTCTAGTCTAGGTAACCGTCCCTCACAGGCCTGGTCAGCCTGTGGCCCAGTCGCCTTGCGGTCGGACCCCAGCCAATGGCGCAAGGAGGGCTGGGCGATGCTACCTAGATCCCGCAAGGTTTAGGCGCACCCCCTTCCTGTAACAGGCAGGAAGCGAGCGTGGGGACCAGAGGTGCGCAGCCATCGACCTGGCTGGTGGAGACGCCAACCTCGTCGAGACCGCAACCGCTCGTTTCGGTAAAGTTCTGGTTCTGGGGATTACGGTTAATATTGGGCTATTGGCTAGAGGAGCGCTCCCTTACTTCACGGTTGCCGGATTTTGCTGACGAGCATCCGCGCATCTGCAAGCGAGACACCCAACGACGTCTGCGGTCGGTTGTGGTACTCGAGCAGAAACTGGCTAATTGCAACGCGTGCATTAGCAGCAGCAGCGCTCTGCTTTGGGCAGAGTAAGAGGCCGCGGTGTGCGGTCTGGAGCGTGCAAGCCGGATTAGAGGTCCGTTACGCGAGTCGCAACTCGTGATTGCACGCAGCACGTTGGAATTCGTACTTCTATTCTGCGCTGAGCAGAGTAAAGAGGCCGCGGTGTACGGTCTGGAGCGTGCAAGCCGGATGGGAGGTCCGTTACGCGAGTCGCAACTCGTGATTGCACGCAGCATGTTGAAATTCTATTCTACTTCGAGCAGAGTAAAGAGGCAGCGAACACGTGTGGTTGGTGTGATAGTGTATACCGGTATGTGTTTCTCGTGTTGTTGTTACCGAACTGCTGGGCTATGGCAAATGAAGGTGTCAACGAACTGCTGGGCTACGGCAAGTGAACAGACGGAAGAAGTTTGAAGAAGCCGTTGTAGATGAAGGTGACCTTAGAAGTACAGGCGCTAACTAATCAGGGCGAACGGCTGGACGCACGCAGGGGGGGCTATAACCTATAAGAAGACAGGTGAACGGCCGCGGCACAACGCAAGTTTTGCTTCTGAGCTAAGTACGACTTGGAAAGAGAAGTCGTTATCCGATGAAGATTATGTTAGGGGGGGGGTCCGGGGGCGCAGCCCCCTAAAACAATATTTGGTGGTTACTAACATAACACCCGAAAAGGCCCAAAGTAACCACTTGGCTCCTAAATAATTACCCAGCCTAAAAAGTTTTAAAAACACTGCTTCAGAGGGCCTCCACCCCTGCCTTGAAGCCCCCCCAAAGCCACCACCTGGGAAAACCGATCGTTGCCTTCTGCGCCGAAACTTTGGGAATGGTGCCTGTTAGATAACATAAAGTTGGGGTTAAATGGCCTGGATGCAAAGACACCGGTCACTGGGAGGGGCGGGCAAGCACCTGCAAATGTGGGGAAACATGTAGTGAACAGGGGTACGTACGACGGTGAAAACCCCACCCCCAGCGGCAAGGGCAGGCGCGCTGAGCGGCATCGTAACGCCGTCGCCAACAGAAGCCAGCCTTCCATTAAACGAAGACGGCGCCTGGATTGAGTGCTCGGTTTGATACACCTCTCCGGAAGCGAGCACATGCATCATGCCAGGTTGCGTGCGGAACCATGGCGCAGAGCAAACAGCGTACAGGGGTCTTGCCTAGTAAATACGTTGTCCAGGTTATTTTCCTTGCTGTCAGTGAATGGGGAAGCCATCTGAGCTTTGCTGGAAGGGGAGGGTTGACAACGCGGTCGCAAGCGCGCAACAATAGTGGTTTGTGCCGAAATGACACCAATCACTTCCAGTAACTATTGGGCAGCTAGTAAGGCTTTATAAAGCAAAGAAAGCTGAAGAAAGCGGGCGGCCTCGCCTACATCGCGCGGGGACTGGCATAAGGCCCCTCCACCCTCCACAGAATCTTTGCCAAGCCTGGCTTCTACACTCTTACTTTTATGCCATTTAATAGATTTGTGACAAAGAAGTGCTGTTGGACTTTTAAACAACAATTTCGTTTCTGTGACACAGGGGCCAATCACCAAGCCCCCACCTCCTTCCAAGACACATTGCAGTTCGGATCGTTCTCTGCAACTCGAGAGCATGTAGTTGGAAACGCTAATAATAGCGGATCAGCATGCCGCGGTGTATACGTTCTCGGGCCTTTGAACACACTGTACGTCATGCCATGAGAGTTGGTTTTACGTAAAGCTGATGAGCTAACTTAAGAGGGTGCAGTATCGGACATGTCTAAAGAGCTTATGAACAGTACTTTGCGGTGCAAGTCTTGGTGATTGGCCCCTGTGTCGCACGAAGGAAATTGTTGTTTAAAGGTCCTAAAGCACTTCTTTGTATTTAATCTATTAAATGGTATAAAAGCAAGAGTGTAGAAGCCAGGCTTGGCAAAGATTCTGTAGAGGGTGGAGGGGCCTTATGCCAGTCACCGCGCGGTATAGGCGAGGCCAAAGCGGGAATCCTTATGGCGGGTGCCGTACGCCTAGGTCGCTCTGGACCTGGGGGTAACGGTGGTCATCACGGCGGTTTGCCGGACCTGGGCACCTGGCACCTGGGGGCAGCGGTGGTCATTCAAACACCGTGGCGAAAAATTATGTCATTTCTACTTCTCTCCATTTTGAATAGCCGCCATATGTAAACGGCGAACGGCCCCTTATGTGGTACATAGGCGAGGTCTACGCGAGGCTAAAAGCACCGGCACAAGATAAAACACTGTGGTCACTGCTATCGCTGCAGGAAACATATAGTATTGCTGCTGTTGAGTAGGCCTACGTTGCAATGGACCAATGCTACGAATGAGTTCTGCATCTCTCGTTACAGCGTTGCGGGAAGCGAAAAAGGCGCAACCAAGTCTCGGGGAGTCAGGATCGTGTATGCACCGTATGGGCATCACGTATTGCAAGTTAACGCAAATAACATAGGTGACATAGTCTTCGTGTCCAAGTTCGAGCAGTATGAACTAACGACAAGTCATGACGCCGTCAGAAATCAATGACTATGCAAAAATAACCCGAAACAAGGCGTGGCTTAAGTTCATTTACCAGCAATGAACTAAAAAGCACAGGGGGTCCAGACAGCCATGTCAGCAAGGACAGGCCCCCCACATGGTGCTCCTTGGAACAGCTACAGCATTTTACTTCTCGCTCCATACAAGACACTGCTCGAGTTGCTTTGGAGTAAGCTTGTAAGTTGACAACACCGACGGCGATGGAGCATGAGGTGTGAAAACGAAGAAATGGACGGCCTCTCCGTTAGCGAACTGCGGCACATAGTTCGTAGCCGTCGTGGTTGGTACGAGAAAATTCGCATTAAGGGTAAACACTAAGGACTCACCTCAGTGCAGCTGGTGATATGTCCCTTCAAGTCGGCAGTCGCAGCTGAGTCCAGCAGGTTGAGGTTGACGGTTACAGAACTCCCATGCTCCTGGATGCGTTCCTGCGCTGCTACGAGTTGCTCAAGGCGTTTCAAGGCATGGGTTCAGTTGAGGCTCTTCTCAAACCTCACCAGCAGCGCTTGAGTATCAGGGCCATTTAGAGATGATGCCATATTGGGCTTATCAGTTAACATGCTTTTAAGACACACAGTATATGCGGGGGTTTTTATACTTGGGTGATCATGAGTAGGAAGGTGGGCAGCCGCGTTGGTGTCCCTCCACATTCCCTGGTGGTAAGTTGGACGAGCTCCAGGTTTTGTTTCGCCTGCCCTCCCTGGACGCACGGCGCGAAGTAACCCAGTTATCACAACTAACAAGCACATGTCCTGGCTAGACGCACAGTTACCCATGGCACTGCAGCAGCCCTAAACATAACTCGCAACCATTTAAGGGTGACAGGACCTGACTTCCTACGTCATCTAACTCGCCTGCAAACCCGTCCCCTACAGCCTGCTAGCCTTAATTCCGACGCACCCATCCCCAAGCCCCAAGAGGGGTGTTAACTGGAAATGGGGGAGAACAGTGCACTGCCAGGGCCGCCCACAGGTGTGCCTGCCATGCCGCCGCCTACTATGCCGGACAGGCAACCGCATGCAGGTGCACGACCAACCCCCCAACCCAGTTCGACTCGATCGCTTCCTGCATGCGGATTCTACTGGTGCACGCTCACGTGGCCTCTAATTACCATGAGCCGTGGGTCCACGAACACGCAATAGCGTCACTAACTGGCCTCGACCGACGCCGTAGCCCTGCCTCTATGCTCACCTCCCGCTGTGGCTGTCGATACGCTGATAGCCAGCTCGTCAGCAGCGCCCAGAACCGCGAAGGCCCCCTCGGCCGTAAATGCGTGATGAGCTCCCCAGCCACTACTCTGAATTGCCTGCGAGGGGAAGAATGGGGCGCTAGGGGGGGGCAGCGTAGAGGGGGGAGCCGCGACGCACGCAGCCCGCTTTGGCTGCCAAGGCGGTCGGCAGCCCGGGGTAACCAGCAGGAGGTCCCGCACGTCGGGTGGCTTCCAGGAAAGAACATATCAGTGTACAGGCCACGGCGGGTGGTCACGGCAATACACAGGTCATGGCAGGTGGTCACGCCAATACATAGATCACACGACACAGTGCAATGCCCTTCTCGCGGCATGCACACCCTTTACGCTCGCGGCGCAGTCAGGCGGGCCCTCCTCGCGGTTCCTGCACCTCGTCTCCCCCGACGGCAGGGCGACGACACATCATGCAGCCCCCTAAGGTCTGCCGACCGGAGGGTGGAACTCACCATTGCAGTCGCTTTCCCGAAGCGGCGGCGCACCCGCCGCCGCCTCATCCCCAAATGAGCTGAGTGGCTGGGCGTGCTGCCTCCCCCTGCACCCGCAGGGCCTGCGGCGAGTGTCGCTGCGAGCTAACACTGCGTGCTGTGCGGCCCCTCGGGCTCTGGAAAGCTGCGGAAACCGACGTAGGGATGCCGGCGGAGCGCCGGTGCGGGCGCCGACCCGCCAGTCGAAGAGCCTTGAGCTAGCGTTGCAGAGGCCGTGAAGGCGCGGAAGTGTTCCGGCTGCCATAGTTTACTATAGTTCCGAACCTGTCATAGACTGCGTTTCATTGTCATTGGTTAGCGCAAACAGAAGTGGCTGCAGGGCCTGGCTGGCGCGGCTGCGGCAGAGCCGTTGGCGTGGCTTCCACGTTTCTCGGCATTTGCACATAAGCCTGCGCGAACCCAAACGTGCGCGTAATTATAATTCATATTGTTGCAGCATAGTGCGTTGCGTAATAGCTGTTAAGGAAAGTGGTGAGACCCCTTTGAGACCCCTTCGTGACCCCTATGAAACTGTATGACTTCATTCATATTAACGTTTATGGCACCATACGGCAAGAGCGCCGCATGAGCACGTCTAGGTGCTTAACAGCATCCGTGAACACCCTCAAGCTGCGAGGCATGAGCAGAAACAGGGTAACGGCGTGAACACATAGGCAGCTTGCAGCAGCCACGAGGACCCACCTAGGAGGCCTGTACTCCCAACCGTCCGGGCCCTCCGTGAACGGGAAAAGCTCAAGCAGGACATCCGAGCACACTACAGGCCGTGGTGGCGGCACCAGAGGGCGTGTTGGGGTGATACGCATGAACTGCTCCACTTCAGCCTTCCTGCATGTAGCGGAAATTTCCCATACAGGTTAGCCGCAAGCCATGAAACAAAGCACTGCGCTATTAAAGTAATGGCAAAGGTCCCAGACCAAATGTACCTTTGGCTCGCCGCCTTGCCGCCTTGCTTGCGGGCAGGCGGTGGTCTAGCTGCGGGTCCACCGTACTGGTTGCATCTCCGCTTCGATGCATGCTTCACCGGAGGCGACGAATCCGGCGGCGTCACTGCCGTTTCGTCCTCGTAATCGCTGTCGTCCTGGTCGCGTAAGGACCGTGCTCGGCGCTTATGCTGTTGTGGCGTAAGCTCGATGCTTCCAGCGTCCACTGTGGCCTGCTGGAGTCCGCCTAGGGAAGTGCTTTCGATGGCGTTAAAGGCAGGGTTGCGAGGTCGTGGGTTAGGCGAAGCACCGGGCGCAAGGCTTGCTGGCCGCAGCACTACATCAACAGCGTTCGATGCCTGCTCCGCTGTGGAGGCCAAGGCGAGGCGCAATAGCCGCCATTCTACGGACCGCAACAGCAAGGAGTCCCTTGTCACGAGCCACCGGGGTAATGGGTCAACTGCGAGGTCCATGCGGAAACCCGGCATGTGACAACCGTTCACGTGCAGGCGGACTGGCTTTGCGCCGCAAGAGAGCGGGAGGTCGACTGTGAAGGGGCCCACGAACGAGGGATAGGTCCATAGCAGTCCAGTGCTCGGCTCAAAGACGTGGAGCTCGGTAAAGCCGGGCTTTACCTTCCCCAGAGCCACGGACACCAGGCGTGCGTACGTGTCTAGTCCGGCACCAGTAAGCCGCGCGCTTGGCATGCCGTCCGGTGACCATGTTCCTGCGTTTGGAAATCTCAAGACGTAAGCGCAGTTTGTCATTCCGATGCATCCACAGGTAACCATACAGATAGGACCGTTGACCTCCTTACTTGCCTCCCTGCATTACATTTTCCGATGCCCCGCTTACCGAGGATATGCTCTCGCCACCCCGCTGATGTCCGACCGGAATCGTTAATCATGTCCTGCATGAATGGTAGCTGCCTTGCCTCCTGCATCGTGGCCAGTAGCTTGTCAGGGGGAATGGCGGCTTCTACTGCGACACACAACGCCAATTGATGCGGCGAGTACAGGCCGCTGCGCTCGTCAATACGCCAGAACTTCTCTAATAAAGAAAGCGCCTCATTGCTCCTAGACTGCTCGTGGTACGCACGGCAACCCGTGCTGCTGGTGCTGCTGCTGGTGTTGCTGCTGGCCCTGCCGCCAGAAGCTGTACCCGAGTCCACCCCATCGTGCTGCCAGCGCCTTGAGCTACCGTGACGAAAGCGGAGTGAGAGGAATGTGCTGATGTCAACAGCCTGAAGGACAGACCTCAGCGCCTTCCTAGCGGCGCCAAGCAGGGCCTGTCCGATGACCAATGGGTCGGCGCCGGCTGGAGTGCTACGAGTGACATGAGATCGGACGTGGGCGACGTCCTCAGTGAACTGCTCGAAGAAAATGTCCGATTCCTCAAACTTTCCCTGCGGGGCGGGTCCATTAGCACCGTTTTTAGGCTCGATGGCGACCACATATGCAGCCAAAGGACCAATACGTTGACAATACTGTTGTATTTATGCAATGATAATGATTTGTGATAAAGCAACGCACCGCTTCGGTTAAATGGGCGGCCTGCGCCACCGCATGCTGACAGTTGACCCGCACTCGCAGCTTTTTTCCGCCCACGTTCGCCTCAGCAATCTTAGTATAGTCAGTTGCATTACGGTTTGGGAAGATTTTGTCTCGAACTATCGCCGAGACGAGAGACTTATCGAAGCCCTCGCTGGTCAAGAATTCTTGCAAGCTTTCTTCGCTAGGAGTAAGAGTATGCTTATTGCAACCGTAGCCACATTTTCCTTCTTTATTAAGGCCCCCTAACGAGAGGCAGCTATGACGTGTGGCCATGTCCGGCCTCCAAGAGTCGCGAGCTGCCTGGCTTTACATGATATATGTAACAGACTTCCTCCCAAGCTAAAAGCAACGCATTTCTGTAGACTATCGGGGTCGTGAAGGTCAGTATCAGGCCTGAGACCCCATGAGACCCCGATAGCCGTACCTATCGGGGTCTCAGTGACGTACTATCGGGGTGGCCAAGGGGTCTCACCCCTTTACAGTAGGATATTGATACTGTATGGCTAACGAGCAGCTAGGTCTCCAGCAAAGTATGTCAAATTATATGTGGGTAACATAATGTGCTGTACCATATTGTATGCGACATTGGGGCGTTGACCGACACATCATGCCCAGCCACGTACACCTTGCTTTGTCCCATACTATGTGACATGCCATACTAACTTGGATACCACGCAGTAAGGTATACCACACTACACTGCACCGGTATAGCCCTTCCTACGTACCGCGTATGGCCATGGATGGCTAGTAAGGATGCATCTAGGTATGATGTTTGTCGCTAACTTAGCCCTTGGCCCGTTATCCTTTTCTTAGGCAACTTGAGGTGTATTGTTCAGCTGTATGGTACAGCAACGACACGGGCTCTTACTTGCAGCAAATCATGGTTTGGTGAAAAAAAAACCAACAACCCGACAACGCGTCACGTAATTGTGCTGCCACTTACGGTTAGGGGAGCGGCTGGCCTGCACGGCCTCTCACGCACAGCGCGGATTGGGCGGGGGGGGAGGGAGGTGGATGACTAAAGATGATGAGGCGCCTCCTGGTCTGGTCACATGATCGCCATTCATCATACTTCTAGCTCAATATTCGTTGGTGGGCTATGTGTTTCCGCATTGCATTCATTCCAGTGGTAACAATACGTTCCTGTACTGATGAGGAGGGGCTCCGCCCTTTTCCAGCGTTGAGGAAGCTGAACCCCCTTGTTATGGGAAAGGGTTTGCGAGAGGGCAGGTGGGTAGCGGATGGGGAATAAACAACATACCAACCCATAGGAAATTTCAGTAAGGGCAAAGCAAAGGGGATGGGAGGCGGTAGAGTGTCACAAACACAAAACGTTAAAAAAAGGACAGCCGCAGCAGGCTACAGTTCATCGACCGTTACTATGTGCCGCACACCTAGCACTGCCTTCTCTTGCTTTAGCCCAGTATGGATTGCTAAGAAATGAACAGGTACCGTTTAGGGATCTGGTAAGCAGATGTTGGGAAAGAGGTCAGGGGCCTGAGGCTACAGTTGGTTGTATAACCGCTTTGCACTTGTGGCATCGCCTATTTTCCTACGCACAATTAGATTATGTTCTTCACCGCCGTTTTCTGCATGTGTTTTTTGCCGCTGCGGCCCGTTCACAACACAGCGGCGTCTCCCACAATTGCGGTCCCTCCGTATTCCTCCGTCCAATCTGCAGTTAGTACGGTCTCTCCGTCTTCCTGCATCCTTCCGCGCTGCGGTTTCGCCCTGAACATCGATGATCAGCTTCCGTGCCTATTGCACCCGCACATTCCATGCCAGGCGCCTTGGCCGTGTTAAAAGTTTACGAGCTCTTGACGTACACTAACGCGAGCTAGCGTGGTTCCTCCGTCTTCCAGCGTCCTTCGGCGCAGCGATTTTGTGCTTACCACAGGTGATCACGTTCCGTACCTCATGCACCCGCATTTTCATTGCCAGGCGCTCGGGCCGCGTCAAATGCTTATGAGCGCAGCCGTACAATGACGCTATTCCTCCTAACGGGCTAGTATACTCGGCTGCCTGTGGAGCTGTACAAGGAGTTCTCCAGCACCTTTGCGCCCCTCCTGGCCCGCGTCTTCTCTGCAATCGGGACCACTGGCACGACTCCCCGTGGCCTCCTGGACGGTGTCATCTCCTCCCTCTTCAAGGCTGGCGACCCCACGCTGCCTGCTAACTACCGTCCCATCACCCTCCTTGACACCGACTACCGCACCCTTGCCCGCGTCCTGGCGAAGCGCCTCCTGCCGGTCTTTGGGGACGTCATTGACCCCTCCCAGACGGCGTTCCTGCAGTCCCGACGCATTGCAGACAATATCCTTCTGCTCCAACTTCTGCCCGAGCTCCTCCGCACGGAGCGCCGCCCTGGTGTTGCTGTCTTCCTGGACTTCTACAAGGCCTACGACACAGTTGACAGGGACTTCCTCTTCGCCTGCCTCGAGGCCCTCGGTGTCGGGCCGGGCTTCCTCCAGTGGGTGCAGCGCCTCCATACCGACACTGCAGCGGTTGCCCTTGTCAACGGCCACTGCTCTGGCAGGGTCCCCATCACCTCCGGTGTCCGCCAGGGCTGCCCTTTGGCTCCCCTCCTTTACCTTGCCGTGGGCCAGGCCCTGCTCTGCTGGCTTACGCAGCAAGGTATTGGCCTCCAGGTCTCGGGCCCTACCCCATCTAGCGGCCTGCCAGCACCTCCCGGCCCCGAGGTCCGCGCATCCCAGTATGCCGACGACTGTACTCCCTTCCTGGCCAGCCTCGCCGACCTTCCCCGCTTCCTCGCCGCCATGGAGGTCTTTCGGGCCGCTTCTGGACAGCGCCTCAATGTGGACAAGACCGAGCTCTTGCTGCTTGGTACCCACCCGCCTCCGCCTCCTCCTCCACCTCCACCGCCCCCTCCTCCCCCGCCTCCTCCCCCCCTCCACCCCTCCCTCGCCCTCGCCCTGCTCGCCGCGGCTGTCCGCGCCTCCCCCCCCTCCCTGGCCGCTTCCCTCCTCCTCGGCGCCCTCCCTGCTGCCGCCTCGGTGGCTGCCGCACTCTTGCGCCCTCCCCCTCCTCCCCTCCTCGCCCCCGCCGGCCTGTCCCCTGGGCCCCATGGCCCCGCTGCCCCGATCCCGCGGGTGGTCGCGTCGGCGAAGACCTTGGGCATCCACTTCCACAACAATGCGGACCGCTCCCCTGTCTCTTTCGAGGGGGTGGTTGCGGCGCTGGCCAAGGTCGTCGCCCTGCCTCTCTCCACGTTTGGGCGCGCCTTCGCGGCCTCTGGCTACGCCCTGAGCAAGACCTTGTATCACCTGGAGTTTCAGGGTCTCCCCACGCAGCGCGCCCTGACCCGCCTCCAGGGCACAGTTGGTGCTGTCGTCGATCGCCGTCTGTCACCTTCCCAGCATGCTACTGCCCCCCATCAGCGCCTCACCGGAGTCGGCCACGGCTGCCTTGCACTGCCTCCTGCTGCTGGCGGCTTTGGGCTCCTCCCCCTGGTGCAGCACGTCCGCGCCCGCCAGGCTGCCACTGCGGTGCGCTTTGTGAGCGGTGCCTGCGGCCTCCTGCCCGTTACTCCTCCCTGGGTCCGGGTGGCGCTGTCTCTGCTACGCCGATGTCATCCCGCAGCCCACCCCCTCTGCGTCCTCATGCCCAACGCCGGCCGGACAGTCCTGGGCCGCCCCATCCCGGCTGACTGCCCCGCCCTGTGCTCCTTGGTCAGTGCCCTCGCACCCCTTGGCACCCTCCACATCCCTGACCCGGCTGCCCTTGCTGGTCCCTGGTGCTCCTCTGCTCCCTTGTGGGGCAACCCAGCGCTCCTGACCACCGACGGCGCCGGCCTGGAGACCGCCTTCCCTGACATTGCCGCCCTTCCCGGCTTCACCTCCATCGGGGTCGCTGTTCGGAGCTGGCTTGCCCTTCGGGACCTCCCCTGCTTCCGTACGGCGGCTCTCAACCCCGCGGACCAGCCTTCTCCCCGTCTGCTGCGGCAATGTACTAGGGCCTTCCGCCGCCTGGTCCTCCGTGGAGTGTTGACCCTCCCTGCTGGTCTGGAGTTTCCCCCCCGGCTGTTGTCGGGCTGGCACGCCTTCCGGCGCCTCCACATCCTTCTGCTTCAGGTCCCGCAACCCTGGGTGCTTGCTGCGGTGACGGCTGCGGCTGCCGGTTCGGCTGCCGTGCCGGCCGACGAGGCCTGGCGGGTGCTTGCCCGTGCGCTTGCCTGGCGCCCCACGCCCACCTTCCCGACAGCCGTCCCCCTGCTTCGCCTCAGTGTGCGCCTTGGCACCCACCTCCAGCTCGCCCCGGCCTACTGCGACCTCCATGCTAAGCATTCCACCTTTGTGGCGGAGGCCTGCGGGTCCCCCGACGCCCCCCCTGCCGTCCTTGCTGGTTTTCGATCTACCTTGGCGCGGCTGTGGCGTCTGCGCTGGGAGAACCAACACAAGGAGGCGCTGTGGCGGCTCGCCCTCAATGGCTGCGCGGGCTTCCCTCTGCATGCCAGCCATGCCGCCCGGGCAGCTGCGCAGGGCCGTTCGCACTCATTGGCCTGCCCGTGTGGAGCACCCCTGGTCGCCTTTGGAGTGGCACAAGATCGGTTACACTTGTTTTGGGAGTGCTTTGTGGCCCGTACCCTTCGTGAGGCCCTGGGCGAGGCCTTAGGTGCACCCGTGGGCTCACTTGATAGTGCATTTACTAGGCAACATTTGTGGTTAGTCCAACCTCCAGACGGTGTGCATGGTTGTGTGTGGGATGTCGTGGCGCTGGCCGCTCTTTCGGCTCTTGAACAGGCCCGTAGGTGGTTGTATGCTGACAACAGTGGCCGGACCCCCCTCCCCAGACGGTCCCTTGTTGTGCTGGGTGCTCGTGTTGTTGCTGATTTCTGGTCCCGCCTCCAGTCCTTTGCTGTCTTAGGTGTGCCTCCCCGCGGCTGGGACTGTGTTCCCCCTATTCACCCTTTCCTTGCAAATGCGGCTGGCCGTGTACGGTTTGTTGGCCCGCCTGATACTGCGTCCCCGCCGGCCTCCCCCTGACCCTGGATTGTTTTGCCATTGACATCCCCTATGGGTGCTCTTACCTTCGGCTCACGCCGTTGTCGACAGACTTGGTGACAGTTGGGCACTGCTGTGACACAACGCAGCAGCTTGGCAGTTGCTCTGTACAATAATTTGTTGCTTCTGTCGCGGGCTTCGCCTGAGTGCTGTTTCCCCCTCGTGGGCTTGGTGTTTGTGGAGCTGTGGCCTTGCGGGCTTGGTTTCAGGTGGTTCTGTGTCTGGCATGGCTCCTTGTTTTTTGCAAGGCATGTCCCTGGGGTAGGTTGCTTTGTTGCGGCTGCCTAGCGTGTACCGCTAGCGATTGGGTCTCTTGTACGGCTCTCAGGCTTTCAGGAACTCCGGTCCCCCTTGTAACTTTCGCATTCTAGTATAACGGGCTAGCGATTGGGTCTCTTGTACGGCTC